TCCCCATTGTACAAGCTAAAATGATGTACACTCGCTTTATCGAATGACAATTGGAATTATGGTGTCTAGCATCGCCAATTTGACAGTCGGGTGGGTAGAGCATCACCGTAGACAAGGCCACAAGGGGCTAGGAATACTAGGTATGAAACTAATTTGAATGAAATGTCTACAAAATGGCTTATCCCTCAACTCTGTCTAATGGGTTTGACATATGCTTTTTACGAAATAGGTTTGTTAGACTTTCTCAATGATAGATTCATGTCTTGTTGTACAGCTGGCATAGTCGCCTCTATGAGTCAGCGCTTAAGAAGTCTTGTGGGGGATGATGTCTTCTTGGTGGTTGAGAGACTTACTAGAATAAAATAACACCAGACTATCCCTTTGATTCGGACAACATCAATTGGGTGGGAGACGATCCTAATTGAAGCAAGTACGACCGGTACTACTGGTTGTTGGCAGGGTTGAGCTTCCTCAACTTTGTTTACTACTTTGCTTGTTGCTGGATAAGCGATGACACCTTAGTGCCACCGCCACTCCCACCATTGAGACAGACCAGCAGCAGGAATCAAGGTTGAGTTGGCGGAGGGAGATGCTGGTGGCGAGGAGGAAACAAAGATTGGATTGGCAGGGAAATATGCTACAGATGAGGAGGAAAGTAAAACAAATAAAAATTGTTTGCCACTGCCTCGCGTGTTCTCTTTGGAGGAGCTGAAAGAAGCTACCAACAATTTCCATTCTTCATCTTTTATCAGTGAAGGCGCTACAGGAAGGTAACTTTTGTAAGTGCAATTGTGCGTTTGACCCTTTTAAGATACCATCTTTTTTTGCTATATATGTTTTCTACCCAGGTTTACAAAGGTATAATGGAGAATGGTACCCTTGTCGCCATACAATTTGTGAATTTGTCTAAGAGACAAACAATATGGAACCTCATATTCAAACTCAACCTACTTTCAAAGCTCCAACATCATAATCGGGTTTGTCTCTTCGGTCAATGCATCGATAACAATGGACAAGATGATAGCAACACAATCTTCCTTGTCCATGAATACATGACTAACGCCAACTATCTATCTCATTTATTCGGTTAGTAGTTATCAACAAACTTCTCATATAGATTTTCGATGTGTATGAGTTTGCTACCGTGGGTTATATAACAATGTGGCGCATATAATAATGTGTATGATTTTGTTTAAGAGAGATGTTGGTGATGAAGTGGAGGAGGTAATAAAATGTTAGTAACTTCACCTTTCAAAAAATTTCCTAATGATTTTTTTTAAAGCTCTAACTTCTTTATTTTTAGGAATGGCCTAATCATCATAGTCTACAAAATTCATTGTAACAACTTTGATATTAATGGATTTCTATAATATTACACTTCAATACCTATCAACCTATGGTTGTTTGGTTGTGCACATGCTGTTTGGTTGTTATATAACATTGTTATATTTCATTTATGATATGACCATAAATAAGTTGAAATAATTTGTTCATGTATATCTTCAGCTTGCACAAAGGATAATACAGATCATACCTCCACCATCTAAAAATACAGTCGAAACAAATTTGGTTGTTTTAATGTTGTTTCCCATAATTATATTTTTATCTTGTTAGATTCCCAATTAAAATTCCATCAAACAATCCAAAGAGTTGAAATTTTTGTATGGAAAAAAATGTGTTAAAATTTTTAAAATTCATTATAATCAAAAGATTTAGACTCTAATTTTCCTGCATTTAGTTATTTAACCACAGAAAATAGGATTCTTGCATAATTAGGTTTGAAATCTCCAAGTCAACTGGTGCCTGCATTTAGTATATAAAACTGGTGCCTCTATACAATACAATAACGATTGGTTAACTATACGAGCATTTCTACTATGCTATATAGTATTGGTGCTTTAATGTACAACTTAAAGTTGTACCATAACATTAAATGTATAAGTTTAGGTTGTACCATAAAGCAATTTGTACATTTATGTTATGGTACAACTTTACTATTTCAAGATGATGACCACTACCATTTCGCAGCCAAAGGACCATGGAGAAGTTCAATGGCTAGTACAGACTTGAGTTGGAGCAGCAATTGTGATATTGGCTATGATATTTGTTTCAGGTAGCTACGTTCAAGTATTGGGTGACCACAGTTTAGTGAAGATAGAAGGATCACCTATGCGGTGTGGAAGAAGAGAAGGTATTCTGTTTCAATCCTTTCAAGTCGCTGGTTTCATCACAACATACCAAGACCGAGGCCAACACTTGTTAGTATGCCCCAACAACAGTTTAAGGTCAGTTAGTGATTGGTATAGTTGAAACACTTAATTTTCAATGTCATAAATTTGTTTATTCGTATGCAAGTAGAAGATTAAGATAGTTAACTTAACCATTCAAAACTTTCCCTAATTAATTATTTAAAGCTCAAACTTCTTTATTTTTTAAATGGCCTACTCATCATAGTCTAGAAATTAAATTCATACTAACCGTAAATGGATTTCTATAATATTTTTTAGATAAGGGTGATATAGGTTATTATTTGTAATTAGGTACTACTGAAGGGATTCGAACCTGGGACCTCCAGGTTCAAGGCTAGTAGTATTACCATTAGACCAATCCCTTGTTCGTTGGATTTCTATAATATTACATTTCAAAACTTATGGTTGTTTGTTTGTACACATGTAATACACATGTTGTTTGGTTGTACACATATTATATAACATTGTTATATATAACATATATGTTATTACTATAAATAATCATGGAGCCAGCTGCATTTCCTTCTCAAACCAAGACAAATATATATTTTATAATGGGTGTTCACAGGGGGCCATTAATATTCCTTGCCCAACTATGAACTTAGCATGCACATGCATCCATTTAAGAATGCTTTCTTATGATATTCGTCTCATTGCTTCTCAACGAAAGTGACAATTCGGTCATTGTGTATATAAAAGCTGTAGAGTGCGTATAGAAACACTAACACAATTATCTTAGAAATGAATAAACTGTTCTTTCTCAATCTCTAAATCTCAGCAGCATGAGTGAGATAGTGGCGGAGAGTGCTGTCGAGGATGCCAACGGGACTCAAGCTGCTGCAGCCGCGGAATTAGAAGCTCAGGGAATCACATGGCCGGCGTTAATAATGGGTGGTCCGAGGGCTATCCTTTTCAACACCGTTTTGCGGAGAAGATGATGAGTAGTTTTTTTTTTGTCAAAGATATTCCGAATCGGAACGAAAGTTACCAAGATATTCATAATAAATGAAATTCACAAAATATGATAGGTAAGGACAATAGTCGACTAGAAGTAGTTGAATGACAGAGAGAGTTAATTTAAAGAAAAGAAAGTGTGTGGTGTATGTTTATGTTTGATGGATAACTGTACAAGTATAACAATGCCTAGATGGAGAGGTAATTGATTATGGTGGTACCTTTTCACTAATTTCATTAACTATAATTTCTAAAAATTGCGGATATGTAAGAGTTTGATCTAGTGATATAGTTATCACTGGTTTTCAATATGAAATTTCTAAGTTCGAACTTATTAAGTAGCATCTAATAATAAAAAAATAAGTACAAAACTAATCTACGTCTCTGGGAAAAAATTCATAAACTTTATTGCATGGATGACTTGCCTCCGATATACATTTTTCGACCTCCAAGTAATGTCTCATCCATCAATCTGACAATTTAGTGATGATGGTAACTTCAATGTAAGTCGTTATTGTTATCTCTCTTTCAAACATACAGAAGATATGCATCCTAGACCCAGGAACGGAGCCAGAATTTAAAATTAGCGGGGCCAATGATTTTTTTTCCTGTTGAATACTGATGAAAATTTCCCCCCATGACAAAAGGAAAATGAATGATATAGAGTTTAGTAGCCAACGTAATTACTAATAAAACAATGATCATGTTAACGCGTTCGCATTTGTATTCACTAAATCCAAGTTTTTTGTGTTATAATCAGTTTTTTAATAATCACTAAAGCTAGTTTAACCTTCAAGTTAATATCATCCGGTACAAATTAAATAGAAACTACTGTAATTGTGGAGTTTGTGACAGTAATCAATCGAAAACGGATTAATTTGGGAAAAAGAATGTAAGTTATAAAGAGAGACTTACAAACAAGAACATAATGGCAGAGCCAATCATCGAGAAAAGAAAGGTAAGAGCATGGACACTTTTCTTACTTCCATCACAATATTATTAATAATCTCTGCAACAATTTTGCTTCCTTCAACTTCAGCTATCAGCGTATTGCCTTACCATCATGTACACATAAAAAACCAACTGAGTAATCCAAAAGCCACCTTACTGGTTCATTGTAAATCCAAAGATGACGATCTCGGGGTCCAGAATATTATGGTAAACAACGAGTTTCAATGGCGTTTCAAACGTAGTTTCATAATCAAGGACACGTTATATTGGTGTTATCTGGCCCCATCCACCAGCAACCAACACGCTGATTTCGAGGCTTACGACGATGCTCTTCATGAAAGAGAGGTTGGTAATAATCTCTATTGGAAGGCCAAAGATGATGGAGTCTACTTATCGACGTTGAGAAATGATGGAACTTTTCAAGACTTTCTATGGCATCCTTGGATTTCCGGAAAATGAATGAGATTCGATTTCTTTTCACATACGCTACATATTTATACACATACTACTTTAAGCCCGAATCCCCAATAGGGAGTATTGTACGTTCGGTTCCAATACATTGATATGATATAATATCTAAATTATATGTAATTCTTATCCATAATAATTTAATACAACATATATACTTCTCCCATTATTATTATTATTATTTTCCCCAATGAAATATGAATGGTAGTATGGTACATTGCTTAACCTCCAATTAACTTGCCCCTACACGGCTACACCACAAAGGTAATAACTTCTCACAATGTAAACGGTGATTTTCCCTGTACATGCAAATCATTAAATAATAAAGAAAATTGATCAGCCCCAGCCCCCAAGGTCGCAAGCAGCCAGTAATAAAAGTCATAATGACTCCGGTCCAAATCGTCTGCCACCCAATTTCTCACTCCTTTCCCCGTCAATTTCTTCACCATAAGCAACACCAAACTGGCCACCAATCCACCAGCAAACTGGCTCAAGGACCACAACCCCTACGAAATGTGAGTCGTAGAACTCACTGTGGGCCACGGCGCTGAAACCTTCACCCAAACCGGTCAGGCAGAGCTGGACGATCAGCCAGTTCGCCGACATGGTGAATATCTCCTTTTCCCGACGAATACGTTCCACTGCTCCGGCAACGATGTTAGCGGTGCAAGAAAACGCCGCGCCGATACCCATGCGCCAGCGCCACGTGGCCGGGATGCCGGCATTGGAAACGAAGAACTTGTTGGAGAGATTGTAGAGTGTTACCAAGAGAGTCGACGATGCGACGGTGAAGACCCCGTAGGCCGATTCCGGGATCTGGATGCGGCGGCCTATGAATTGGCGCTTCATGGTTTCGGCTTGTAGGGACGTGAACGTGAGTGGGCTGGTTAAAGCGGCGATCAAGACTCCGGTTAACCAAATTGGTATCAATTTGACCAAAGCCTTGAACTCTTCCACTTGCTCGACGCTGCAAAGCGCCCACGGATCCGTTGGCAGACCCGTAGTTGGGTTGACTTCTTTCTCCTCGTTGACCACCAAGCACGCTTTATTAAGAAAGCTACATCGTACGTAAATTAAATGATATTAATTATCTAGTTAATATCTTGATCACACAAAAAAGGGGGTTAATGCAAGACGTACGCTACTTAATGAAATATATTAATTATTACCTCAATTGATTAGTAGGGCAAGCAAGTACTGCTCCCTCGTAAAACCAGAGTGGAGGACACGTGGATTGACTCCTTTTGCTCCACGCCGCTATAATGACGCGAATTAGACTTTTCACGACGGCGTGGGCCCCGTCGGCCGTCGGTCCCTCCTGGCAGCTTACTGTACCCGGCCGAGGCTATGAAGAAAACGACGAGGGATAGCAACATGAAGACCGCAGCGGCTCCTAACCCAAACCCCCACCCGTATTCCTCCTGAGCTATGGTCAAGAGTAGAACCACAATAATGACCCACATTCCGGCCCCGCTATGGTACCAGCTACTGATGGTTGGGGCGCCGGCCGGCCGGTTGATCATGATTTGATCTGCGGCAAAGGTCTGCGAGCACCGCCTTATTCCACCACCTCCAATGCCCATCAGAAACAGAGAGGTGAATAGGAGAAGGAGTTGCCCGCCGTTCGGTCCTTCGCAGGGATCATTGCTTTCGTAGCAAGGCGGTGGCCGTGCCTTGGAGGACAATGTGGTAGCCCACATGATCCCCATTCCCTTCAAAATAAAAATAAAAATAATGATTATCAATTAGGGTATATATATGCTGTCAGTCGATCTATCTCACATGATACCTGAAAATCTGATAGCAAGAAATTAATTAACAAGGCGTGACGTGTTTATGCTTGGCTTCTTAGAGAACTGGTTATTAGTTAAGTACTTAGCCTAGTTGTAGGACAAGATTAAAGACATATAGTAGTGTACTACTCTATCACTACAAAAATATCGGCCTTTGCCAAGGGTTCGGTAGCAGGGGTCGAGTAAACCCTTGCCAGCAGTTCTCAAAACTCACCGTTCCAGCGGTACGTTTAAGGGGTTTAGAAACCCCTGCTATTAACTGATAAAGAGCTCATCGTACTTGCATTCCCCTTTTCCGAGAAAGAAAGGCGTTTTGTGGTCCAATCTCTTCCTTCTTCCATTCTCCAAAGGTTACTCGATCGGAAAATTCGGAGATGATGGTCGCCTCGTAAAAATTGTGATTGATCATCTCCTAAACCCTAGAATCACCCCGTCCCTATTCCATTCTCTAAGAAATTGGATTCTTAGAGAACTGGTCAGTAGTTAAGTACTTAGCCCTAGTTGTAGGACATGACTTTTTTTTTTTATGATGGTGAAAAATTGTATTAAAGAAGAACGAGAAGTCCACAAATCAGAAGACGAGAACAAAAGTTCACAAGAAGCGAACCACTGCCGCAAGACAAGTACAAAACAAAACCTAACAACAGCAAAAAGCAGGAACAAACAAATTCCAACAGGAGCCGCAACTAGGTGGACCAAACCACCCCTGTAGGACAAGATTAAAGACATATAGTAGTGTACTACCCGTACGTGCATTACTGAAGGGTTAATTAATACTACTTATTGGTGACGAACACAACAAACTTTTTGTGACAAAAAAAATGTTTTGGCGACCACTTTGTTCTTTTGACGAATCCTTCGTTTCCGGTGGCGAAAAGTTTCCTTTGTGCGATACTCACCAAGAAAGCGAGGATACTGCTGGCGGAGATTACTCGAAAGCGTCCGTACAAATCGGCGGCGAGAGAGGCGCAAGGTGAGCTGAAGTTGGAGAGGGCATTCCACAGGATTAAGGTGGTGGCAACGGCAGTGTTGCTGATGAAGTACTGGCGCTTCAGGTAGAACGTCAATAGGGCTTGGACGCCGGCGCTAGTGCCTTTCTCCAACCATTTCATTTCCTGATGGGAGAGTATAAGCATAATTATTATTATTGCTAATCATAAGATAAGCTTTAATTTTGGATTTGTGAAAATCAGACATAAATACTTATACCGAGTATTATAGCGAAGGTCTTCAAACCCCGGCATCCCATTGTTGCCGACGCCATGGTTTCCTGAGCTTCGGCCGGTGCTGCTTGAATTCCGTCGGCGGCTCTAATCTCCATAGTTTCTGAGCTTTCAGTGTGGACTAGAGGCGGTAAATGGATTAGGATTTGATTCGTACGTGCATGGTGTGACGCTATACATAGCTAGCGATGTAGGGCTGTTAATTAACTAGGTTTGGTTTATGCTTTACACAAAATACAAAGGCGCGCAGTACAGTACTAAAAGGCAACCCAAAATGACAAGGTAGGTGTGGCGTAGTTGCAAATTGTCAAATAAGACGAGATTCGTTTAAGAAACTAGGCTGGCTAGGTGTGGTCTTCCCACGAGAGACTCCAACTCCAAGCCACATGATGTACGTCGCTCTCCTCTCCTAAAATTAATTGTGGAATAGGAATATTCTTATGATAAAACACAAACTAGATAGGTACCACCTTACCTTAAACATAAAGTGGGAAAGGGATGGACTATTTCGGATTGGTAGCTACGGAACCCCAAAGATGCCCATGGCTATACTAATACAGATTGTTAGCAACGGAAAATGCCTTGATTTTGACGAGATTATTGATAATTAATTATGGCTAAAAACACAAGTTATAAGTGTCAATTACCTGATGGAATATTTAGTACGCCTCTTCGATCAGCTGGTGTCTACATATCCATGCTACCCAGAAGGATCCTCCTTGCATCAACAATGCTTCAACAACCGTACATTCATTTGTATAGTACAAGAGCATCATTAAATCAAGCTATATAAAAATATTATATATTTTTATTTCTAGTGTCTATTTTTTCACGGAATCACAAAATCATAGTTAGTAAGCAAAAAATTTGTTCGAATCCATTAAAACAATTCAAAGAGCTGAAATTCTCGTATGAAAAAAATGTGGTGAAATTTTGAAAATTCATTATATTCGAAAGATACATTAAATTATTTAACCAGGGAAAGTAGGGTCCCTCCATAATTATTAATTAGGTTTTAAATCTCCAAGTCAACTGGTGCCTGCATTTATAGTTATATGGAACTGGTGCGTATACTGTTAGAAACCGAACAGAAAAATTAGGGTTACCGATCTGGCTGAGTCGCGGACTAGGTCGCTCTCTTTAAGACGTTCGCGGCACTGCCTTCGTTGCGCACGGCAGACTATCAGCCGGTCGCCTCCAGGATAAAACAGCCACTCTTATTTTGTTGCTCATCGATTTTGTGCGAAAACCGGAGCTCTATGAACTCACTCTCTATCTCGTGTTTCTGCTCTCTGAGGTGTGTTTAGAGGGTTTGGGGCGTCTCCTATTTATAGGAGCAGAAAACCCAGAATATTCCCTCTTTCTTTGGGAATAAGTCATAATTAATTAGGGAGATAATTACTCCCATAATTAAAATATATTATATTAGGATAATTAATTCTAATTATCTCCATAATATTCTTTTTATTAATTATCCTTCTATTTTTGTATCTAGAAAGAATACCGGATAATTAATTCAATATAGCTTTCAAAGCTATTCATTCCCAACAATCCCCCACTTGAATAGTTTTGAAACTATCTCTGAGCATCAACAGATCCATAAGATCGGGCATAAGCTAAGGTATCGCGAAGATTTGAACCTTAGCGTAGTGGTTACACTTCCGATTTCATAAGGGTGACTCGTAGTCTTGAACCCTATCTCAGACAATGTAGCACACCGGATCTTTTCATTGAGTGATATTCTCTCATAGGCCGTGCGTTTATGGCCATGCACGTTATCCCGGTTTAGTGAACGCTCTAGCAACTTTGTGCCTCCAAAGTTCCATAGAGAGCGGCCCCACTCCCACATTCACATAGGTGAGTCTATCAGAAGTACCCCCAAAGTAAAGTACTTCACTCCACATAGAGTATAGATCTCATTAAGAGTTTAACTCAACCTCCAAGGCTTTGGGATTCATGCTTCACTATGCATGAACTTTTCTCAATATTACTCATGACTTGTTATTACCCATTGAACCCGTTTCTTGGGATCTCCAGTCTATCGGGTCGGGTTACCATCACTTGTAATCCATGGTTCGGTAGGCATAAGTCTCATACCCTTCGTGGTATTTTTAGACTTTCTCTCTAGCTAGTCCTTTCGTCAAAGGACCAACTAGATTCTTTTATAATCTCAAGTTCATCCTTTCGTCAAAGAATAAACTAGATTCTCTTTTAAGTGATCCACCCTTACTGCTCCAACAGTTAGGGACTCTCTCTTCCAGTACTGTTCTCATGACGAACTTGTCGCCTCTCACCATTTGTTACGGTTCTATTTAGCAATTGCTATCGCAATGGATCAATACCGGCGGATACGGTATTTCCCATAAGGGAATCTCTTAGTAATGACCCTCTCAATCAACTTTCTTCTTTACTAGCCATTGCTAGTTCTATCATATCTGATTCTATAGTTGATTGACCCAAGATCGTTTACTTCTTTTTTCTTAGACTTCCAAGACACAACTTCTCTATCGATGTTTAAAACACATCCTCTTGTTGTCTTGGAGTTCTCTATAGGGTATTCTAATCCGCATCACTATACCCTACCAATACAGCAAAACCTTTGATAACAAATACCAAGGTTTTTCTGTTCTTTTAAGGTGTCTCATGACCCCTTTCAATAGCATTTCAATGCTTCATACTAGGACAATCAGTAAGCCTGCCAAGCACCCCCACTATGTCGGGTCTCATGTTTATCAGCTGCCTCTCGCAGACTGTCGATGCTAGCATGTTCTTACTTTCTTACACCGTCTTTGGTGCTCTTAAAAATTATACTAGCACCATCAAACATCTATGCAGGTGTAGAACTCGTATTTCCTCTAGATCTAACTGTTTAGTTAAACTGATCTAGATGAAATCTCTTTCATTGTCCTAGTAATCTGGATCTCCGAGCATAACACTTGCTTCATCCAGATCTTTTTACCTTCATAATTCTCAACCAACATGGTTTTTCATCATATTGACATCACGAGTCTTTGTACCAAAGATCGAAGTGTCATTCATAATGCAAGTGTCATTCTCAATTTGTACTAAATGCACTTGTCACTTTCATTTTAAAACCATGAGAGAGAACCAGTGTATTCATGCCATCGTCTTAGAGTCTATTTCAAATCTTACAATGATTTGTCTAACTATAGACTCCCTAAGCATGTTCAGGAATAACAACCCTATAGGTTGTCCCATGTAGATTTTCCTATCTAAATCACCATTCACAGAAACATGTTTAACAATCCATCTGACGCACAACACTAGCAATCAGAACATACATGGATGTTATTCTACATATGGTGAATAGATAACAAGAAAATTTACAATTTTTCCTTTTCGCTTAAAGCCTTAGCTATTAGGCGATCCTTATACTCATAAACTAAACCAATAGGTTTCACTTTTCTTTTAAGAATCCATTTATTACCCATGACTTCATTGCCAAGAGGTAATTCTCAAAGATGCCAAATCTTTTTGATTTTATCGATATATTACCCAAGACTTTACAACCAAGAGGTAACTCTACAAGATTTTAAGTCTTATTAGACTCCAATAATTCCATTTCGTTAATAATGGATTCTCCCACAATTTTGCATCTTTATGGAAGTTCGAACTTCTAGCAGACTTGTAGGATCTTTCTTTCTTAGGGTGTAAATAACAAATTCATAACCAAAATCCTTTCGAGATTTATGGTTCATTTGTCTCTTCCGAGTTCATACTCAGATTCATCACCCCCACTAGTTATCCATTATTTCTAATAGTAGGCAGGACACTACCCCCACTATTTCTTGATTTAAAATGGAAGTTTCTTGGCATGAATGGATTTCACAACAACATGAATATTTCGTTTCATAGGAACTATGTGTTTTTATTGTTAACAACATAAAACACACTCATATGCTCTTCTAGTTATCATGCTACACTGATTTTTTAACGCTACCACATGCATGTCACATATCCAATAATCAGTGCAATCATAATGCAACTAGGCATTTCAAACTATTTCGAATAACTAGTTAGACAATCAGAGCATTCTAAAGAGCAATAAATTATTTATTGTCTTTTCCATCAAGTTTACCCACATAAATCAGATCTATTAATTCTGATTCTCTATTCACATATTTATGGGTCATTTAGCTTGGATATAGAAAATTCATATTTTTCTCAAGCATCCAATAATAATATGGGAATGCGATATAAGATATTCTAATTCTTCACACTTGGAAGAATTTATCTTATCTACTTAACCATTCCTTACATCTAGGATAGTCAATGACTTTCTAGAAGCAGAATTCTCTTCCACTTTTCCAGAACCATCAACAATAGTGGTGAGGGTCTTGGCCAACAACACTTTCTCCTTCAATATGCGTCAATGTATGATTGAGCTTAGCTCGTTTATCACACACATATCTTGAAGCGATCCTATTCAACAACCATTCTTCAGAGTTACCATTAAGGCTAACCTCTGTCATCACCTAAGTGATTATTATTGTCAAATCCTCTTCTCTAATCAAGTTAACACAATACTAGGTTAAACTTGCTCTAACACTTTCGTGTCATATGACCTAGTTCTTCTCAAATTTAATTGAGAAACATAGCGCCATTCTTAGAGAATTGTGTGACAATCTTATGGTTACCACGATAGGTACCATTCTAATTGGTGTGGATCTGGTTCAGCTTGCTGCTCTTATTCTTGAAACTTTAATGTTTCACAGCAACCTAAGTGGTTCGTGTAGTACTGATAATAGTACTTCTTATCATATCGTTATTATGGGCAATAAACCCATTCTATTCCCATATATTCTTCACATATATGCATGCATTTAAACAAAATCATTCTACTCCACAACATGTATTTCATTTATACTTTAATCATCGAGTTAATAAATCTCAATGTCAACATGCATCAATTCTAGATTTTCATTTCTAGCATTCATAATGATTCTCAATGCCATGCATATGGTAGATTCTAATTTGTCATTAATAAATGACTCATAAGTAAGGTTTCAGTTCTTACCTCTTTTCGAAAAGTCATTGTCTTCTGATTTCACACAAAATAACTAGCCCACGCATAGCTCCCCGGAGTACGATCCTCTATGAGTCAGCGCTTAAGAAGTCTTGTGGGGGATGATGTCTTCTTGGTGGTTGAGAGACTTACTAGAATAAAATAACACCAGACTATCCCTTTGATTCGGACAACATCAATTGGGTGGGAGGCGATCCTAATTGAAGCAAGTACGACCGGTACTACTGGTTGTTGGCAGGGTTGAGCTTCCTCAACTTTGTTTACTACTTTGCTTGTTGCTGGATAAGCGATGACACCTTAGTGCCACCGCCACTCCCACCATTGAGACAGACCAGCAGCAGGAATCAAGGTTGAGTTGGCGGAGGGAGATGCTGGTGGCGAGGAGGAAACAAAGATTGGATTGGCAGGGAAATATGCTACAGATGAGGAGGAAAGTAAAACAAATAAAAATTGTTTGCCACTGCCTCGCGTGTTCTCTTTGGAGGAGCTGAAAGAAGCTACCAACAATTTCCATTCTTCATCTTTTATCAGTGAAGGCGCTACAGGAAGGTAACTTTTGTAAGTGCAATTGTGCGTTTGACCCTTTTAAGATACCATCTTTTTTTGCTATATATGTTTTCTACCCAGGTTTACAAAGGTATAATGGAGAATGGTACCCTTGTCGCCATACAATTTGTGAATTTGTCTAAGAGACAAACAATATGGAACCTCATATTCAAACTCAACCTACTTTCAAAGCTCCAACATCATAATCGGGTTTGTCTCTTCGGTCAATGCATCGATAACAATGGACAAGATGATAGCAACACAATCTTCCTTGTCCATGAATACATGACTAACGCCAACTATCTATCTCATTTATTCGGTTAGTAGTTATCAACAAACTTCTCATATAGATTTTCGATGTGTATGAGTTTGCTACCGTGGGTTATATAACAATGTGGCGCATATAATAATGTGTATGATTTTGTTTAAGAGAGATGTTGGTGATGAAGTGGAGGAGGTAATAAAATGTTAGTAACTTCACCTTTCAAAAAATTTCCTAATGATTTTTTTTAAAGCTCTAACTTCTTTATTTTTAGGAATGGCCTAATCATCATAGTCTACAAAATTCATTGTAACAACTTTGATATTAATGGATTTCTATAATATTACACTTCAATACCTATCAACCTATGGTTGTTTGGTTGTGCACATGCTGTTTGGTTGTTATATAACATTGTTATATTTCATTTATGATATGACCATAAATAAGTTGAAATAATTTGTTCATGTATATCTTCAGCTTGCACAAAGGATAATACAGATCATACCTCCACCATCTAAAAATACAGTCGAAACAAATTTGGTTGTTTTAATGTTGTTTCCCATAATTATATTTTTATCTTGTTAGATTCCCAATTAAAATTCCATCAAACAATCCAAAGAGTTGAAATTTTTGTATGGAAAAAAATGTGTTAAAATTTTTAAAATTCATTATAATCAAAAGATTTAGACTCTAATTTTCCTGCATTTAGTTATTTAACCACAGAAAATAGGATTCTTGCATAATTAGGTTTGAAATCTCCAAGTCAACTGGTGCCTGCATTTAGTATATAAAACTGGTGCCTCTATACAATACAATAACGATTGGTTAACTATACGAGCATTTCTACTATGCTATATAGTATTGGTGCTTTAATGTACAACTTAAAGTTGTACCATAACATTAAATGTATAAGTTTAGGTTGTACCATAAAGCAATTTGTACATTTATGTTATGGTACAACTTTACTATTTCAAGATGATGACCACTACCATTTCGCAGCCAAAGGACCATGGAGAAGTTCAATGGCTAGTACAGACTTGAGTTGGAGCAGCAATTGTGATATTGGCTATGATATTTGTTTCAGGTAGCTACGTTCAAGTATTGGGTGACCACAGTTTAGTGAAGATAGAAGGATCACCTATGCGGTGTGGAAGAAGAGAAGGTATTCTGTTTCAATCCTTTCAAGTCGCTGGTTTCATCACAACATACCAAGACCGAGGCCAACACTTGTTAGTATGCCCCAACAACAGTTTAAGGTCAGTTAGTGATTGGTATAGTTGAAACACTTAATTTTCAATGTCATAAATTTGTTTATTCGTATGCAAGTAGAAGATTAAGATAGTTAACTTAACCATTCAAAACTTTCCCTAATTAATTATTTAAAGCTCAAACTTCTTTATTTTTTAAATGGCCTACTCATCATAGTCTAGAAATTAAATTCATACTAACCGTAAATGGATTTCTATAATATTTTTTAGATAAGGGTGATATAGGTTATTATTTGTAATTAGGTACTACTGAAGGGATTCGAACCTGGGACCTCCAGGTTCAAGGCTAGTAGTATTACCATTAGACCAATCCCTTGTTCGTTGGATTTCTATAATATTACATTTCAAAACTTATGGTTGTTTGTTTGTACACATGTAATACACATGTTGTTTGGTTGTACACATATTATATAACATTGTTATATATAACATATATGTTATTACTATAAATAATCATGGAGCCAGCTGCATTTCCTTCTCAAACCAAGACAAATATATATTTTATAATGGGTGTTCACAGGGGGCCATTAATATTCCTTGCCCAACTATGAACTTAGCATGCACATGCATCCATTTAAGAATGCTTTCTTATGATATTCGTCTCATTGCTTCTCAACGAAAGTGACAATTCGGTCATTGTGTATATAAAAGCTGTAGAGTGCGTATAGAAACACTAACACAATTATCTTAGAAATGAATAAACTGTTCTTTCTCAATCTCTAAATCTCAGCAGCATGAGTGAGATAGTGGCGGAGAGTGCTGTCGAGGATGCCAACGGGACTCAAGCTGCTGCAGCCGCGGAATTAGAAGCTCAGGGAATCACATGGCCGGCGTTAATAATGGGTGGTCCGAGGGCTATCCTTTTCAACACCGTTTTGCGGAGAAGATGATGAGTAGTTTTTTTTTTGTCAAAGATATTCCGAATCGGAACGAAAGTTACCAAGATATTCATAATAAATGAAATTCACAAAATATGATAGGTAAGGACAATAGTCGACTAGAAGTAGTTGAATGACAGAGAGAGTTAATTTAAAGAAAAGAAAGTGTGTGGTGTATGTTTATGTTTGATGGATAACTGTACAAGTATAACAATGCCTAGATGGAGAGGTAATTGATTATGGTGGTACCTTTTCACTAATTTCATTAACTATAATTTCTAAAAATTGCGGATATGTAAGAGTTTGATCTAGTGATATAGTTATCACTGGTTTTCAATATGAAATTTCTAAGTTCGAACTTATTAAGTAGCATCTAATAATAAAAAAATAAGTACAAAACTAATCTACGTCTCTGGGAAAAAATTCATAAACTTTATTGCATGGATGACTTGCCTCCGATATACATTTTTCGACCTCCAAGTAATGTCTCATCCATCAATCTGACAATTTAGTGATGATGGTAACTTCAATGTAAGTCGTTATTGTTATCTCTCTTTCAAACATACAGAAGATATGCATCCTAGACCCAGGAACGGAGCCAGAATTTAAAATTAGCGGGGCCAATGATTTTTTTTCCTGTTGAATACTGATGAAAATTTCCCCCCATGACAAAAGGAAAATGAATGATATAGAGTTTAGTAGCCAACGTAATTACTAATAAAACAATGATCATGTTAACGCGTTCGCATTTGTATTCACTAAATCCAAGTTTTTTGTGTTATAATCAGTTTTTTAATAATCACTAAAGCTAGTTTAACCTTCAAGTTAATATCATCCGGTACAAATTAAATAGAAACTACTGTAATTGTGGAGTTTGTGACAGTAATCAATCGAAAACGGATTAATTTGGGAAAAAGAATGTAAGTTATAAAGAGAGACTTACAAACAAGAACATAATGGCAGAGCCAATCATCGAGAAAAGAAAGGTAAGAGCATGGACACTTTTCTTACTTCCATCACAATATTATTAATAATCTCTGCAACAATTTTGCTTCCTTCAACTTCAGCTATCAGCGTATTGCCTTACCATCATGTACACATAAAAAACCAACTGAGTAATCCAAAAGCCACCTTACTGGTTCATTGTAAATCCAAAGATGACGATCTCGGGGTCCAGAATATTATGGTAAACAACGAGTTTCAATGGCGTTTCAAACGTAGTTTCATAATCAAGGACACGTTATATTGGTGTTATCTGGCCCCATCCACCAGCAACCAACACGCTGATTTCGAGGCTTACGACGATGCTCTTCATGAAAGAGAGGTTGGTAATAATCTCTATTGGAAGGCCAAAGATGATGGAGTCTACTTATCGACGTTGAGAAATGATGGAACTTTTCAAGACTTTCTATGGCATCCTTGGATTTCCGGAAAATGAATGAGATTCGATTTCTTTTCACATACGCTACATATTTATACACATACTACTTTAAGCCCGAATCCCCAATAGGGAGTATTGTACGTTCGGTTCCAATACATTGATATGATATAATATCTAAATTATATGTAATTCTTATCCATAATAATTTAATACAACATATATACTTCTCCCATTATTATTATTATTATTTTCCCCAATGAAATATGAATGGTAGTATGGTACATTGCTTAACCTCCAATTAACTTGCCCCTACACGGCTACACCACAAAGGTAATAACTTCTCACAATGTAAACGGTGATTTTCCCTGTACATGCAAATCATTAAATAATAAAGAAAATTGATCAGCCCCAGCCCCCAAGGTCGCAAGCAGCCAGTAATAAAAGTCATAATGACTCCGGTCCAAATCGTCTGCCACCCAATTTCTCACTCCTTTCCCCGTCAATTTCTTCACCATAAGCAACACCAAACTGGCCACCAATCCACCAGCAAACTGGCTCAAGGACCACAACCCCTACGAAATGTGAGTCGTAGAACTCACTGTGGGCCACGGCGCTGAAACCTTCACCCAAACCGGTCAGGCAGAGCTGGACGATCAGCCAGTTCGCCGACATGGTGAATATCTCCTTTTCCCGACGAATACGTTCCACTGCTCCGGCAACGATGTTAGCGGTGCAAGAAAACGCCGCGCCGATACCCATGCGCCAGCGCCACGTGGCCGGGATGCCGGCATTGGAAACGAAGAACTTGTTGGAGAGATTGTAGAGTGTTACCAAGAGAGTCGACGATGCGACGGTGAAGACCCCGTAGGCCGATTCCGGGATCTGGATGCGGCGGCCTATGAATTGGCGCTTCATGGTTTCGGCTTGTAGGGACGTGAACGTGAGTGGGCTGGTTAAAGCGGCGATCAAGACTCCGGTTAACCAAATTGGTATCAATTTGACCAAAGCCTTGAACTCTTCCACTTGCTCGACGCTGCAAAGCGCCCACGGATCCGTTGGCAGACCCGTAGTTGGGTTGACTTCTTTCTCCTCGTTGACCACCAAGCACGCTTTATTAAGAAAGCTACATCGTACGTAAATTAAATGATATTAATTATCTAGTTAATATCTTGATCACACAAAAAAGGGGGTTAATGCAAGACGTACGCTACTTAATGAAATATATTAATTATTACCTCAATTGATTAGTAGGGCAAGCAAGTACTGCTCCCTCGTAAAACCAGAGTGGAGGACACGTGGATTGACTCCTTTTGCTCCACGCCGCTATAATGACGCGAATTAGACTTTTCACGACGGCGTGGGCCCCGTCGGCCGTCGGTCCCTCCTGGCAGCTTACTGTACCCGGCCGAGGCTATGAAGAAAACGACGAGGGATAGCAACATGAAGACCGCAGCGGCTCCTAACCCAAACCCCCACCCGTATTCCTCCTGAGCTATGGTCAAGAGTAGAACCACAATAATGACCCACATTCCGGCCCCGCTATGGTACCAGCTACTGATGGTTGGGGCGCCGGCCGGCCGGTTGATCATGATTTGATCTGCGGCAAAGGTCTGCGAGCACCGCCTTATTCCACCACCTCCAATGCCCATCAGAAACAGAGAGGTGAATAGGAGAAGGAGTTGCCCGCCGTTCGGTCCTTCGCAGGGATCATTGCTTTCGTAGCAAGGCGGTGGCCGTGCCTTGGAGGACAATGTGGTAGCCCACATGATCCCCATTCCCTTCAAAATAAAAATAAAAATAATGATTATCAATTAGGGTATATATATGCTGTCAGTCGATCTATCTCACATGATACCTGAAAATCTGATAGCAAGAAATTAATTAACAAGGCGTGACGTGTTTATGCTTGGCTTCTTAGAGAACTGGTTATTAGTTAAGTACTTAGCCTAGTTGTAGGACAAGATTAAAGACATATAGTAGTGTACTACTCTATCACTACAAAAATATCGGCCTTTGCCAAGGGTTCGGTAGCAGGGGTCGAGTAAACCCTTGCCAGCAGTTCTCAAAACTCACCGTTCCAGCGGTACGTTTAAGGGGTTTAGAAACCCCTGCTATTAACTGATAAAGAGCTCATCGTACTTGCATTCCCCTTTTCCGAGAAAGAAAGGCGTTTTGTGGTCCAATCTCTTCCTTCTTCCATTCTCCAAAGGTTACTCGATCGGAAAATTCGGAGATGATGGTCGCCTCGTAAAAATTGTGATTGATCATCTCCTAAACCCTAGAATCACCCCGTCCCTATTCCATTCTCTAAGAAATTGGATTCTTAGAGAACTGGTCAGTAGTTAAGTACTTAGCCCTAGTTGTAGGACATGACTTTTTTTTTTATGATGGTGAAAAATTGTATTAAAGAAGAACGAGAAGTCCACAAATCAGAAGACGAGAACAAAAGTTCACAAGAAGCGAACCACTGCCGCAAGACAAGTACAAAACAAAACCTAACAACAGCAAAAAGCAGGAACAAACAAATTCCAACAGGAGCCGCAACTAGGTGGACCAAACCACCCCTGTAGGACAAGATTAAAGACATATAGTAGTGTACTACCCTGTACGTGCATTACTGAAGGGTTAATTAATACTACTTATTGGTGACGAACACAACAAACTTTTTGTGACAAAAAAAATGTTTTGGCGACCACTTTGTTCTTTTGACGAATCCTTCGTTTCCGGTGGCGAAAAGTTTCCTTTGTGCGATACTCACCAAGAAAGCGAGGATACTGCTGGCGGAGATTACTCGAAAGCGTCCGTACAAATCGGCGGCGAGAGAGGCGTAAGGTGAGCTGAAGTTGGAGAGGGCATTCCACAGGATTAAGGTGGTGGCAACGGCAGTGTTGCTGATGAAGTACTGGCGCTTCAGGTAGAACGTCAATAGGGCTTGGACGCCGGCGCTAGTGCCTTTCTCCACCATTTCATTTCCTGATGGGAGAGCATAAGCATAATTATTATTATTGCTAATCATAAGATAAGCTTTAATTTTGGATTTGTGAAAATCAGACATAAATACTTATACCGAGTATTATAGCGAAGGTCTTCAAACCCCGGCATCCCATTGTTGCCGACGCCATGGTTTCCTGAGCTTCGGCCGGTGCTGCTTGAATTCCGTCGGCGGCTCTAATCTCCATAGTTTCTGAGCTTTCAGTGTGGACTAGAGGCGGCAAATGGATTAGGATTTGATTCGTACGTGCATGGTGTGACGCTATACATAGCTAGCGATGTAGGGCTGTTAATTAACTAGGTTTGGTTTATGCTTTACACAAAATACAAAGGCGCGCAGTACAGTACTAAAAGGCAACCCAAAATGACAAGGTAGGTGTGGCGTAGTTGCAAATTGTCAAATAAGACGAGATTCGTTTAAGAAACTAGGCTGGCTAGGTGTGGTCTTCCCACGAGAGACTCCAACTCCAAGCCACATGATGTACGTCGCTCTCCTCTCCTAAAATTAATTGTGGAATAGGAATATTCTTATGATAAAACACAAACTAGATAGGTACCACCTTACCTTAAACATAAAGTGGGAAAGGGATGGACTATTTCGGATTGGTAGCTAGGGAACCCCAAAGGTGCCCATGGCTATACTAATACAGATTGTTAGCAACGGAAAATGCCTTGATTTTGACGAGATTATTGATAATTTATTATGGCTAAAAACACAAGTTATAAGTGTCAATTACCTGATGGAATATTTAGTACGCCTCTTCGATCAGCTGGTGTCTACATATCCATGCTACCCAGAACGATCCTCCTTGCATCAACAATGCTTCAACAACCGTACATTCATTTGTATAGTACAAGAGCATCATTAAATCAAGCTATATAAAAATATTATATATTTTTATTTCTAGTGGCTATTTTTTCATGGAATCACAAAAATCACAGTTAGTAAGCAAAAAATTTGTTCGAATCCATTAATACAATTCAACGAGCTGAAATTCTCGTATGAAAAAATGTGGCGAAAATTCATTATATTCAAAAGATACATTAAATTATTTAACCACGGAAAATAAGGTTCCTCCATAATTAGGTTTTAAATCTTCAAGTCAACTGGTGCCTGCATTTATAGTTATATGGAACTGGTGCGTATACACAGCACAATAGCGATTGGTTTAGTATATATATATGATGCTTAGTTTATGCCATTCTGCTGACGTAGCAACCCACGCTGTGTCACTAGCTTCTATTATATAACCATATAGGCCGGCCGGGCGGCCGGCTCCCTTGATTTCATGACATCATTCATCGATAGTCAACTCCAAATTAATATATCGATAATTTTTGTTTGTGAGTGTAACAAGCAAGCACTTGATAATTGTTATAATGAAAGGTAGAAAGCTCCAAACTTGGCGGTTGGCAGGCACTTGATAACCCCGCTCTGCTTCCCATTTTTTCTCGTTGTCCCAATGGCATCCAACATCATATCACCACAAAACCAAGAAGCTTCCGCTTCCCACAACGTGGCCGTTATCTTCGGAGTAACGGGAATGGTCGGAAGGGAGATAGCCAAGAAGCTGATCTCCAACCCCGACTGGAAAGTCTACGGCGTCGCCCGAAGACCCGACCGGGTCCCGCTCCGGTTCAGTAGCACTGCCGCCGATGACTACCAATTCATACCCTGCGACCTTCTAAACCCGGTCGAAACCCGAGCCAAGCTCTCCGCAATCCCCAACGCGACCCACTTGTTTTGGGTAACCTGGGCCAGCCAGCACCCTCAGCGCACAAAACAATGCTGCGACCAGAACCGAGCCATGCTCTCCAACGCTCTCGAACCCATCCTCCTCCGTTCCAACTCGCTCAAGCACGTCTCGCTCCAGACCGGGCTCAAGCATTACCGTACGGCGAAAGGCGGCGATCTTCGCCGTCCGTACGACGAAGAACGACAGCCCCAGAGACACGGAAGGGTTTCTTTTCTACTACTCTCTGGAGGATCTGTTGAAGGAGAAATTGGGAGGTGGATCAGTGGCTTGGTCGGTTCTGCGGCCAGGGTTGGTGGTCGGGAATTCGAGTAAGTCTATCTACAACGTGATTGGTGGGTTGGCCGTGTACGGGACAATTTGCCGGAGGCTGGACCTGCCGTTTGTGTTCGGAGGGACGAGGGAGTGCTGGGAGGAGGAGTACATTGACGGGTCGGATGCCCGGTTGGCTGCGGATCAGCACATCTGGGCGGCGACGGATGAGAGGGTGCGCTCGACGACGGGCGGGCAGGCTTTGAACTCGGTCAACGGGTCGGGTTTCGCGTGGAGGGAGGTTTGGTTGGTTATAGGGGAGAAGATGGGGGTGGCGGTGCCGGAGGAAGCTCTGGCGCCGGAGGAGTTTAGGTATGCGGCGGCGATGGGCGGGATGGAGGGGGTTTGGGATGGGATTGTGGCGGAGGAAGGGCTGGTGGCGACGGAGATTGGGGAGCTGGCGAGCTGGGAGTTTTTGGATCATTTGTTCCGGATGCCGGTCAAGCTGCTAGGGAGCCGGGAGAAGTCCGACCGGCTGGGTTTCACGGCGAGGCGAGAAATGGCGGAGTCGGTGTCGTTTTGGATCGACACCATGAGGGAAGACAAGCTCATTCCGTGAGATATTTCAGATGATGTACGCCCGTTTGTTTCTTCTCGTGCTATTTAATACTTGTATAGTACGTACTAATATGGAGCCTTATCATGTTTTTCAAAGGTTGGATATTTCATATATAATTATATATAGCATGTTTCATATACATAATTTCACAAACTAAATCGATGATTAATTAATATTTTATATTTTCTTTTAAAATTAATTATTAGTGTTTGATATTAATCCATAATCGATACCAAGCATTTGAACATAGAGCATACTATTAACTTATGATGACATATAATTAAATCCCACATATATCACTAACATAATGTAACCGTACCAATATGAGTTACATAAGTTTACATATTTAATGTGATAAATTAGATTGGATTGGTAAGTCAGATTAATCATGTCGCTTTTAATTATCATTTTCACAATCCACTGATAATAATAACCAGAAATTACCTGGACCACGGTAAATGAAAATTTTTTTAATGGATAAATGATAAACGTTTAGGTCCAAGAAATATTTGCCCAATTAGTTACAAATTTGATGAGCATAAGTTCTCCTTTCGGAACAAATATATTTTCTGGGTCGGACCATTCATCTAATTCGCACAACGTATTTGATTGAAATTTCAATCGTGCTCTTATCAAATTGACCGCTTTGAAGAGCTATTAGGCCCGTTAAACTATACAACGTAGATTTCAAAGCTTACCATATGGACCTTCATGAAAGAGTGATTAAGGGTGAGCTTTCCTGAAAAGTCAAAGAGGATAAAGTGTACTTATCAATAGAAATAAATAAAAAAATCAAACTATCCACCCTTGGAAATCCGGCCAGAAGGTGGATATAAGATTCCAATTCTTTGCATTTAGAGGGGTTTGGTTCAGTGGTTGATTGGGGTATGCACAAAGTTGATGTTGTTGGATCATGTGCAGCCTAATTATAATTAGACTTAAATTATCATTTTTCATATATTTATCATCGATGTTTATTTAATATGATAATATTGTCTACAATTACAAGTAATTCATACATTTTTACTCATAAAATTTCATAACTGCTTACGTACACTGATCATCACCATCTGCACACACTCTTTTTTTATTTAGTTCTTGCTCCACACAGTAGCTCAAGCTCATCTGCTTCAGGAGAAATCCACTCATCATCTTCTCCGCAGAACGGTGTTGACAAAACCCGAAGTCCCATTATTCGGAGCCCCGGAAATCCCCAGGATCGAAGTAACCACATTATAAAGCTCCACGTTCTCAAACGACGGCACCACCACTCCCTTCCCGAACTTCGGGCCCCTCCCGACGAAAATCGTCCTCATCGAAAACGCAGCGTTATCATACCCATGGGAACCCCAACACATCTCCTCCCCGGCCACGCGCCGCTGCTCCACCGTGTAACCCTCCGCCACAATCCCAATGATGGGCGTGATCCTGTCGCTGTCGGAGTAGTGCAGCCTCGCTGGCAGGTTCTCCTTCAGGTACACCTTCAAGCTGCCGCCGTTGTTCAGCTTCCCCGACTCCAGCGCTTCCGTCATCTTGGAGACTACCTCGGCGGCGTCGACGCCGGCCGGAGGGCGGATGGAGAGCACCGGAGTGTGGTACATGATCCATTCTTCCGGGATGTCGATCCATTCAGCGAAATCCTCGATGTAGATGTACTTCTTGTCGCACGTGCCGACCATGCCGTGGTCGCCTACGAAGATCACCGTCACTTCGTCCAATAGGGCCCTCTGCTCCAGCCCGGTGATTAGCCTGCCCAGTAGCGAGTCCACTCGGCCCACGGCTGTGGTTATTTGTGGGTCGTCGGGCCCAACCTGAAACGGGATATTATTTTTTAGCAATATGTGTGAAATCTATTCCTATATTTATCCTAAACTTATAATTTGAATTTTTCCCCCCTTACTATTCATTTTGCCAGACAAAATTTTCATTATTTTTTTTATAATATTATAATTAATTGACGACTCGGCCCACGGGCCAGGGTAGTGGTAAATTGAGGATCGTGGGGCCCAACCTGGTGGCCCTGTTTATCAGGGATATCGATGTAGAGGTTCATGAGAACCGGGATTTCATTGAGCGGCAAATCAAAGTTGCTGAGCAAGGTATCGATTCGATCCTCCAATGGGACGGAGCTGTTGTACTTGGGGCAGAACTGGGGCGGGCAAGTCCAACTTCCTTTCGCCACTTCGGCTCCGGCCCAGTAGTAAGCGGCAGCTGGCAGGCCGTGGTTGGCCACCGTCTCCCACAGCGGCTCCCCGAGCCAGAACTTGGGGTCGTGGCTCGACGTAGTGAACTCGTCGCCGGAGGCCGGGTCGACGAAGTAGTTGTTTACGATGCCGTGGTAAGCCGGGTAGAGGCCCGTGACGAGGGAGTAGTGGTTGGGGAAAGTGAGGGTCGGGTAGACCGGGATCAGACCCCGGTCGGTCGACGTTCCCTCGGCCATGAGGCGGTCGATGTTCGGGGTGGGCGTCTTGAACTGGTACCCGAACCGGAAACCGTCGGCGGAGATCATGATCACGACCGGGCGGGGGAGTTTGGGGCTGAGCCGGCCGGTTCGTTCGAGGGAAGATAGTTTCTGGCCCGCGGAGGAGGAGGAGGAGAAGTAGAGGAAGCCGAAAGCAGAGGCGGCGGAAAAGCCGATGCAGGTGAGGCAATGAGAGCCGTGAATATGAGTGGGTTAGTGGCCGGGTGGGTCGTGGAATTGCGGCGGGTGTCTTCGTCGGAGAGAAGAGGTGTGGTCTGGCTTGGCGCCATGATGGGAAGAGAAGAGATGTACACGAGGAAGGAAGCTAGTTAAGGAGTAGTGGTGGGATGAGCAGGTTGGAGGGATGTATTAATAATGTGGCGAAGCAAGTGCAATAATGCTGAAGAAGCTATGAGACAAGTGGAGTGTTAAATCAATTGAATATAGGACAAGATGGTGGGATGGTGTGACATAAATGGCGTGGTGCATGGGGATACATTACAAGCACATAACGTGGTGCATGGGCTGCCACTGCCAAGAGATTTTTTTGGCCTCTCGTCTTTTCTCTTTCCGTTTTGCTGAGAAGATAAACCCCACGTTTTTCAAGCTTTTAACTGAGACTGGCAAGTCGAGCGATCGTTTCCTTTGTTAAACACATCTTTATGGAGTAACTGCTACCTAGTGGAATTAGTCACCACGTCGCCATGGTGGATGGGATGTACGTGCCCCTAAGGTTGTTGTTGTCCTTGTAACCCATCAGGCCACCACCAGTCAGTCATTAGAGGATACAGTTACATGTACATGTCAGTTATAAGTGGCCGATCATAAATACTAGAAGGGGTGTTACCACCTTATCCGCTCCCGGATTGAAGTGCATATTCCAGGGGCGGAGTCAGGATTTTGAGACCGGGTGACCCGAAAAATAATTAAATATAAATAAAACTAAAATAATTATTTTAAAAATACACAACGTTCTTTGATATAATTATTCAAAATAGCCTCTAAACTAAAAAAATTTAGCTATCTTTCATTTAATATAAATAACTAAATCATTAACAAGAAACTCATCATTTTAATTTCTTTGATAATCATATCTCTGTTAATCCCTGGATCATGATCAGAAACCAATGTGAGGTAGTTGTGGATCGAACCTCTGTACTTCTCAATAAAAATCAAGTTTATCTACCAATAGACTACATCGCTATTACATGACACAATATACAGCCGAGTTGTACTTATTCAAATTTTATCTGAATATCCTTAGGGTTCTAGGGGCCGAGACTAATCCTAGGTGGGTCGGGGCCCACCCTACCCTCTTTGTAGCTCCGCACCTGGCATATTCACAAGGTATCGTTGTTTGATCATGTGAGGTTTAATTAAAACTAATTGTCAATATTTTTATTTTAATCCCTCGATATTTATTTAATATGATTTCATTGTCTGTAATTATAAGAGGCGCATACATTTCTGCTCATAAAATTTTCCTTAAATGGTCAATAGATCAGTTTACCTCTGAATTCAGCGGCGGATCTAGGGCTGGGCCAACCCGGACCACGGCCCAGCCCTCCTCCGGATCCAGAGCTACTATAGTGCTTATAAATTTTTCGGTTTTAGATATTCGGCCCAGTACTATTTAAAAATCAGCTTAGTGTTATTTGATAATAGGATTTTTTATAACTACGAAAATGGTCTAGAGGAACATATCCAAACCACTACAATAAATTTAGCGTAGAAAATCTAGCCCGAATGATTTTCATTTGAAAAAAAAACAATAAAATTTAAAAGTCTATAATGTAAAAGACTAAGTATAAAGTTTCATTGAAATAAAAAAAATCCTTATAGACTAAAGTTCACCTTGTCAAAACTAGGGCTGCAAATGAGCCAAGCTACTCACGAGCAACTCGAGGCTCGAATCGGGAAAAGCTCGTTCGGAACTCGATTCGTTTACTGACGAGCCAAGCTTGAGCTTAGCTTTGTTCAGCTCGTGAAGCTCGCGAGCTAGCTCGACTCGGTGGCTTGTTGAGCTCAACTCGTGAGTTGGCTCATTTAGAGCTCATGAGATGTCTCAACATTGTGGTTTTGAGGGCCAACTTGATCACTGGCTTATGGACTAATCGATCTAATTTGGACTTTCATAATTCATAGGATTGTTAAATTATATATCTCACATCATGTGAAGTTTAACATGTTGAACATGTAAGAAAATATGCCTTATTTTTAATTCTATAAAGAAATTATGTACAAAATTGTTTCGATACTATGAAATAACATGATTTGAACTAGTTAAAATTTATTAACTAAACAATATGACACCTAAAAATTATAATATAAGATTAATTAATGTTGAACATTTGATTATTTTTTTATCGCTACATCAATCACATGTATCATACACGACATACAAAATGAATGTATTAAATACGATCTGAGAATTTAGTAAACAAGCCTAGCTCGAACTCGACTCGACTCGGCTCGTTAATAAATGGCTCGGGCTCGAGCTCAGCTCATTTGTTAACGAGTCAAGCTCAAACTTGGGTAAAACTCGGCTCAGCTCGGCTCATTTGCAGCCCTAGTCAAAACTAAAAAAAAGTTCTCCAATCCTCTCAAAACAAAAACAAGAACAAGAGACGACCGGATCCGAAATGGATTTCTCCGCCAACCCGCTGGACGCTGGTTTTCTTTTCCAAATTGGCATTGTAATTAATGAAAATTAATAAATTATAGTTATTACATATATTTTTTTGTTTACGGCATCCAATATTCCATTCAAATTCGGCCCAGTGCTATACTATATCTTGGATCCGTCGCTGCCTCTGGTTAACTTACTATATAAGCAAATAGTAACTTATTTCAAAAAAATTCACGCAATTTCTTGTTTATTATTATACAACTGAGATTGTTTTAATTTGAGACGAATTGATCTATCAAAATGATAAATTTTTGTCTCAACTAGTAGATAATGACATCCTTCACTTATTAAAAATAGCTCAGTTACCTTTTCTTTTATTCAGTTTTGATTTTTTTACATTTTCCATTTTTTTGTTTTTAACATCATTCCTTTATCTTTCCTAGTTTTCATGCACACTTATTAAAACTGATGTATTTACTTTAGTTTTCTATTTCAATTATAATTCCTTTCTTTCTTCTTTCAATTACACACTCAGCAGGCAAGTGCTGGCCTAATAAATAACATTTCACTCTCGTACTTTCTATCCTCTCCGTGGTGGACCGATTTGTGGGTGATGATGAGAATGTTGAAAGGTAATTTGCCGCAAAATATTGAGACAGAGGCCGGCAGAGTTGGTGCACTATTGATTGGCTATATATGCTGGATGGAGAAGGGTCATTCTCACAAGAGGAAGCAATAATTTTCAGATCCACAAAGAAAACTTCAGCTTAATATAGATGGGCAGCAAAACAATTTCAATGTTATCATCTCTGTGTATTCATTTTCCTCTCATTTAACACATGCATGGGTCGTCATCTAAATAATTTCAACGTCATTATCTTTGTCTCCATTTTCCATTATGGAGAAGTAGTTGAATGAGAGAGAGAGAGAGAGAGAGAGAGAGAGAGAGAGAGAGAGAGAGAGAGAGAGAGAGAGAGAGAGAGAGAGAGAGAGTGAGAGAGAGTGAGAGTTAATATAAAGAAAAGAAAGTGTGTGGTATGTGATTATGTTTGAAAATACAGCCGAAACTGGGAAGCATAGTTGTGTATTTGGTTGTTGTTCTTAGAGTGGGTAAAACGTCAAATACTTTCTTTAGTATTGATTTTGAATTCTAAGATACTTGTGTTAGTATTTGTATTAGAGCCAATATTCTTATGTTCTTACAAAATCTCCACTCGTTTGATTGTTAACTGTAAAAGTATAACAGAGTCTAGATGGAGTGGAGTAGTGGTAGTTTATTGTGGTGAACTCGTTCTTTTTAGCTAATATCATTAACTAAAACTTCCAAAAAATTAGAATAATTGAATAAGGGTTCGATCTAGTGGTACGATTACTGGTTCTCAATCTAGAGTCCTAAGTTCGAATTCCTTAAGTAATAAATACAAAACTAATATACGTCACTTGAATAAAATTCGTAAAGTTTGTTGTATGGATGACTTGTCTCCGATCTACATTTTCCGACCACCAAGTAATGTCTCATCCATCAATTGACAATTCCGTGATGATGATAACTTCAATATAAGTATTATTTTTATCTATTGCATACATACAGAAAATATGCATCTCAGATCACCACCTATCTAACATTGTTATTATCAGATCATTTATCAATCTTCATATCCTTATCCCATTTGCTTCTTAAATCCTGCTCCATAAATGATATTAATAAGTTAAGTTTCCTCTGTTTAAACCAATGCTGTCAAAGCCGAGCCGGAGTATGACCCGGTAACGTGAACGGCTCGGTCATTAGTGGTCCAGCCGGCATTAGACCGTTTAAAAACCGTTTGAGAACCGGTACATTATAAACAATATAATATCTTAGTAGAACACACATAAAGTAATAATTCAATGATTTAATGAGTAAAAATGATAATTACAGGTACCATTTAATAATTCTACACAACATATATATACAGCAACTAAAAAAAACCCTAACTTAATCCTAAGTGACAGCGCCGCTTCCCCATCCCCCCTCCCTCTCTCCTTCCTCCTCTCCCACCGCCGCACCTATTTTCATTTTTCAGCCACTATATCCTTCTGCAATTCCTCAAAAATCCATCACCACATTCAATTCTTCCTCATCCTTTCTTAACCCGTAAATGCTCTTCCTCGTCCCAATCCGCGAAATGGCTCGGATTCAATCCAAACCCCCGGTGGGACAGGGCAGCTTAGCGGGGAGCTGCTTGCGACGGTAGCGACGGGATGGAAGCGCTGGGAGCGGGGAGCTGCTTGCTACAACAAGGACTGGCGATGGCGATGCCGTCGGGAAGCGCCGATGCCGGGACAAGAGGTGTTGACGGCCGATTCCACGATTGGTCTTTTCTAATTTTTATTGTTAGGGTAAACCAAACGGCCGAACCGCGCGACCAGCTTGAGCGGCTCGAGCGGTTAACCACTTTGGCCGCTCGCCGGCCGCTGTATAAAACTGTGACGGTTAAATAGCTGATCCGAACCGGTTTTACGGCCGGGTGGCAGTTTTGGCGGTCCGACCGGCCGACTCGGTTCGACTTTGACAACACTGGTTTAAACCTTGACTTAGCATATCTTGGGTTGTTGTATATTTTTTGGGTGCTTCTCATGGGTTTAGATGATTGTAATTAGATTCTCTGCTTTTGTAGAGTTTTGATGAGGATTAAAAGCTTCAATTGCCCCAAAAATTTGTTGTGTTTAGAAGAGACACAACATCTAATTCACCCATTGTGAAATTCATTCATATCATTTGTTGGTTATTCACTTGATTAAGTACTTATTCACGCAAATGGAGCCTCAAGTTTTTTATTTTATTTTTGCTAATATTTTGTATTGGTCATATTTTAGGAAATTAAATGTGAGTTTTCAATTTTTCTATAAAAATGAGTTGCATTAATCATAAGGGTGTGCCTACGGTGACATGCATGTCACGGTGACTTGCACTTTCCGGTCGACCTCAGTTAGGATTAGGTCGACCTCATTTAGAATTCGGTCGACCTCATATAGGATCCGGTCGACCTAATATGTTGTTTCAGTGTAAAAACAGTTCATGGTGCCTACTTTGGATATTCATATCATACAATTGACTAGATGGAAATTGAAGACTAATGACTTGTTTTGAAGCTGGACTGTCCCTCTACATATTGAAGTGATTGAGAGCTCGATAGGAAGTCCAGAAGATCATTTTTGAACCTCATCAAAAGGCTATGCCAAAACTGGGAAACTGCCTAGAAATGGCTAAGTCTGGAAACGTGTTTGTGAAGCCTATTTTTGAGCTCAATTCGAGAAGCATGAATGCGAGTCGAGTCCAGGAGCATCTACCACGTTAAATTAAGTATGTTTTTATACAAATTCAAGGAATTGGATGAAAGATTGGATATCTTTAAGGCTTCAAACAAAAGGGTCGAAGTTGCTACGAAGGCTGTTTTTCTGGCAGACTTCGAGCACAAGCAAGCTGCCAGAAAAACAGCCTTTGTAGCAACTTCGAGCCTTTTGTTTGAAGCCTTAAATATATTCAATCTTTCATTCAATGCCTTGCCTTTGTATAAAAAAAATACGTAATTTAACGTGGTAGAGGCCCCTGGACTTGACTCGCATCCATGCTTCTCAAATTGAGCTCCAAAGTAGGCTTGACAGACACGTTGTCAGACTTAGCCATTTTCAGGCAGTCTCCCAGTTTTGGCATAGCCTTTTGGTCAGGTTCAAAAATGGTCTTCTGGACTTTCTATTGAGCTCCCAAGTACATTAATGTGTAGAGGGACACTTCAGCTTCAAAACAAGCCTTTTTAATCTCCAATTTCCATCTAGCCAATTGTAAGATATGAATCTCCAAAGTAGGCACCATGAAACTGTTTTTACACTGAAACAACTGATTAGGTCGACCTGATCCTATATGAGGTCGACCGAAAAGTGCATGTCACTGTGACATGCATGTCACCGTAGCAAAGTCCTAATCATAATCTACACAATAATGTTTATTTTGAAATATTTCAAAATTTAAAAGTTGATTTTACAATAATATGAAATAACTATTACCGTTTGTGTGAATAACCGCCACTTTTACGTGAATAAACAAACTATGTGACATAAATAAACACAAAACTGTATTGTGGCCCAAACAACAAACCATGTTATAAATTACCCACACTCATCTACATGACAACACTGTTTTATTTTGTTCTTACTCACTACTCACTAGGTCTCACTTATTTGCTTCAAGAGAAAGAAAGAAAGAAAAAAAGTAAACCTTTCACTCAGTTTATTCTTCTTAATTAAAGAAAGAAAGGAAAAAAGTAAACCTTTCACTCAGTTTATTCTTCTTAACCACTCCACACAGTCCACACTCAATGTCTTCTCCGCAGAACAGTGTTGACAAAACCCGAAGTCCCATTATTCGGAGCCCCGGAAATCCCCAGAATCGAAGTCACCACATTATAAAGCTCCACATTCTCAAACGAAGGCACCACCACTCCCTGCCCGAACTTCGGCCCTCTCCCGACAAAAATCGTCCTCATCGAAAACGCCGCGTTATCATACCCATGGGAACCCCAACACATCTCCTCCCCGGCCACGCGCCGCTGCTCCACCGTGTAACCCTCCGCCACGATCCCGATGATGGGCGTGATCCTGTCGCTGTCGGAGTAGTGCAGCCTCGCCGGGAGGTTCTCCTTCAGGTACACCTTCAAGCTGCCGCCGTTGTTCAGCTTCCCCGACTCCAGCGCCTCCGTCATCTTGGACACCACCTCGGCGGCGTCGACGCCGGACGGAGGGCGGATGGAGAGCACCGGAGTGTGGTACATGATCCATTCTTCCGGGATGTCGATCCATTCGGCGAAATCCTCGATGTAGAGGTACTTCTTGTCGCACGTGCCGACCATGCCGTGGTCGCCTACGAAGATCACCGTTACTTCGTCCAATAGGGCCCTTTGTTCCAGCCCGGTGATTAGTCTGCCCAGTAGCGAGTCCACTCGGCCCACGGCTGCGGTTATTTGTGGATCGTCCGGCCCAACCTGAAACAGGATTTTCCATTAGCATTCATAGAATATCAAGCCAGAAAGTCATCTTTTCAATTTATTTCTCTATGATATAAAATAAATTATTTCTTTGATGTTGATTGCTATAATAAATCGTATGATTATGAAAGCTATATTTATCCTTGACTTATAATTCCATTTCTTGATGTTGATTGCTATAATAAATCCCATAACATTTTCTTTTGAATTCCTTACCGTTACACTCTTAATCTTTCGGAGTTTCAGACTCTCATATTCCAAACCATCCAAAATCATTTGTTATATGATTTGGAAAACTAGGAATGGTTTGGGAAATGGGTTACTCAAGATGAAAATTGTTGACTATTAAAATTGACCATCACTTTAGACATTGGACCCATACTATCCATTATTTTGAAATTTTAATCATTTTTATCTTTGAAAAATAATGGAGATAAAATAACCATAAGAGGTTGTTTGGAGAACATGATGAATTCACTGAATCCGTAAATTTTATAAAAAGTTACATTTTTCTGGTTGGTTTTAATATTTGCAAAAATGAATATTTCACGGTGAATATGGTTTACCATTATAAATAACTATCTATTGAAAAATTGGATGGATATTATTATCCATTACAATATCATCTATTTTAAAATTGTTGAACCAAAGTTGGAGCCAAATAGCAATTAATTATTTTAAATACGACAAAATGTGGGAAAAAATCCAAAAGTACCACTGTTTAGAAAAAAATTTCCAAAAATACCACCCAACCCCAAAAAATTCCAAAAATACCACCCTTTTTCAAAAACCGCCACCCCACCCAGCGGTTTGGTCGAAAACCGCTTGTCGGGGGCGCGGTTTTGGACCAAACCGCGGGCCTAGGGGGCGGTTATAAAAAAAAAAAAAAATTTGGACCAAAACCGCTGGGTGGGGTGGCGGTTTGGCCCAAAACCGCCACCCCAACCAGCGGTTTGGTCCAAAAATTCGGTCGAAACTTCAAACGAACGTAACTTTGCACTCGGGTATCCGATCGTAGCGATTCTTTTTTTCATTTCGCATAACTTTTCAAGATCTACAACTTTTACTAGGATGAAATTTTCAAAACAGGAACTATTTGTGGATATACGGGACCTTGAGAATAACTTTACCTTTACTTTTCAGAAATCCATGTGCATTTTGAAATTATGATTATATTAAAAGTTGTAGATCTTGAAAAGTTATGCGGAATAAAAAAAAAATTCATGACATTCGGTTTGGCCCAAAACCGCCACCCCACCCAGCGGTTTTGGTCCAAATTTTTTTTTTTTTTTATAACCGCCCCCTAGGCCCGCGGTTTGGTCCAAAACCGCGCCCCCGACAAGCGGTTTTCGACCAAACCGCTGGGTGGAGTGGGTGTTTTTGAAAAAGGGTGGTATTTTTGGAATTTTTTGGGATTGAGTGGTATTTTTGGAATTTCTTTTTTAAACAGTGGTACTTTTGGATTTTTTCCCAAAATGTGCATCGTTCATGGATATGACTCATCAGTCATCACCTATCACTACACTAATCTACTTTTTTTATTCTTTAGTTTTAAATAACTTTTTATTCCTTTTTCCAACTTTGACCATTGTCCAAAACACTCTGTTTCTCCTCTGCCCTCAAGCAAAAGAACCACTTCTCCTCCTTCTTCGTCTACAGACTACACAAGTACGTGTAAAAGAAATTAATGTAATGATTGTATATGTATTACCTGGTGACCTTGCGCGTCGGGGGATTCAATGTAGAGATTCATGAGAACAGGGATTTCATCCAGCGGCAAATCGAAGTTGCTCAGCAAAGTATCAATTCGCTCCTCCAATGGCACCGAGCTGTTATACTTGGGGCAGAATTCGGGAGGACAAGTCCAGCTCCCTTTCACCACTTCAGCTCCAGCCCAGTAATACGCAGCAGCCGGCAAGCCGTGGTTGGCCACCGTCTCCCACAGCGGCTCTCCGAGCCAGAACTTGGGGTCGTGGCTCGCCAGAGTGAACTCGTCGCCGGTGGCCGGGTCGACGAAGTAGTTGTTTATGATGCCGTGGTAAGCAGGGTAGAGCCCCGTGACGATGGAGTAATGGTTGGGGAAAGTGAGGGTCGGGTAGACCGGGATCAAACCCCGGTCGGCCGACGTTCCCTCGGCCATGAGCCGGTCGATGCTCGGGGTTGCCGTCTTGAACTGGTACCCGAACCGGAACCCATCAGCGGAGATCATGATCACGACCGGGCGGGGGAGTTTCGGCTTGGGCCGGCTGGTTCGTTCAAGGGAAGACAGTTTCTGGGCCGTGGGAGAAGAGGAAGAGGAGAAGTAGAGGAAGCCGAAAGCAGAGGCGGCGGAAAGGCCGACGCAGCTGAGGGCAATAAGTGCTGTGAAGATGAATGGGTTGGTGCCCGGGTGCGTTCTGGCATTGCGGCGGGTGTCGTGGTTCGAATCGTCGTCCGAGAGAAGAGATGTGGTCTGGTTTGGCGCCATGGTGGAAGAGAAGAGCAGAGACTTTTGGGATGAGAAGGTAAGGAGCTTGGAGTGATGTATTAATAATGGCACCCAAGTTGAAGGAATGAAACTAGTTTAGTGTTAAAATCATTTGAATATAGGACAAGAGGGGGGTTGGTGGGATGGGGCGCCAAGTTGATTGAGAGAAGAGAAGATCATCATTTCAATGTGCTGCAAAGCTACAGCAGCCGGCTGCTACACGATTGTTTAATGTTTGTGTGCCATTAAAAAACTGCCAAGAGGTGTAAGGAATGCTTAGTTAATGGATCCCTGCTTGTTTTTTTGGCCTCCGGCCTTTTTCCTCTGTTTTTTTCAAGCTTTTTGTCGCACAACAAGTTGAGAGATCATTCTATTTGTTAAATATATCTTTATTATGGAATAACAGCTAGTGCAAGTAGTACATACCAGTTTCTACAGACGAGCTTGAACACAGAAGAAACAAACAAACAGACCACCTTGAGCCATAAGACTCTAGGGGATCAAAGTGGCTCCCAGTTCATTAAAAATGCCGCCTTGACATCATTTTCCTCCGCATTTCGCCTCTTTGCTAATAGAGCAGCTGTACATGAAGGATATTAAGGTTGTTTCAAATATGCAGTGTTAATTGTGGCACAACCTTAATTAATACAGCTGAAGTTCATGGTTCTAAGGAGAGACCTGGTTACTGGTTCTGGTTTGGTTTGTTTCTGGTAATGAAGATGCTGAGTTCATTCCAAGGTTGATCTTCAGGATACATACATGGTCTTGGGTGATGCTGTTGAGCTCTGGTTAGTGCTCCACCATCCCATTGAAAGTTGTTCAGCTCCGACTCTCCTAACTTTAACTTTCCCTCCTCACATAATACAGTTGCAGAATCTGTGCCCGGGGTGATTTAGGAAATCCAGAGTACGTTGTTTGATAATCCAAAGAAAAAAGACCAGACAGTAACAGCAAAACCAGCCACAAAGCCAAGTGACGTGATGACGGAGAACCATAGAAATTCATCGTCTTCATCTCCATTTCCAGAACCAGGCACAGCTTTGCGCACACTACAACCATTGTTCAATGGAGGGCCACAGAGGTATCGGTTCCCTATGAAGCTCCAAGAATCAAAGCTCTGCAGTTGAGTGCTTGAAGGAATTTTACCACTCAAGTTGTTGTAGGACAAGTTCAAGTAACACAGGAAAGTCAGACTTGCCAGTCCAGGAGGGACTACTCCGGATAGCTGGTTCACAGATAAGTCCAAAGATTCCAGTGATTCCATTTTATGTAACGCCTCTGGCATTCTACCTGAGAATAAATTATGTGACAAGTTCAGGTAGTGAAGTCCCTTCAGGTCTGTGATCTCCCCTGGTATTACTCCAGAAAAGTTGTTGCAAGAAAGGTCTACACTTCTTACATAATTCAGTATGGTACTGTAATCCACAAACCTCCCTTTAGTCGATAAAATTTGATTTTCCCTGTACACTTCACCTCCTCCAATAAAAATATAAATTACAGCAATATCATCACTATTATCTGAGGTAGCCATGGCACTAAAATTACCCAAACATGCTGGCAGGCTCCCTGAAAGTGAGTTGTGAGAAAGGTCCAAGATTTGTACAAACTGCAGATGGCAAAGCTCCACCGGCATGCTGCCATGAAACTTATTTGCACGCAAATTAAGAATAGACAATTTGGAAAGCCACTTCCCCACCCACCTTGGAATCTCTCCTACCAATTCATTATAGCCCAAGTCAACAGCGAGCAACTTAGAGCAGTTACCAAGAGACAAGGGAATGTCACCAGTCAGACTATTGTTCTGTATGTGTAAAGACAAAAGTGAGGTTAAAGTTCCGATGGAGTTTGGAATTCTTCCTGTAAACTTGTTGCTACTAAGTTTAAGAGCCTCCAAACTCTGCCAATTTTTCCAGCAGTCAGGTATCTCACCTGAAAAGAGATTACCTTGAAGATTCAGATACTGAGTAGTCCTTGTCTCAGCAGGATTGAAACACAAGAACTTGACCAAGTTTCCGGACAACAAATTGTTGGATAGGTCCAAGAAAGTAAGATTGGACGAAACAGTGGGCAGTGGACCTTCCAAGCAATTGGAGCTGAAATCAAAAAATGATTCGTAGCCGTCAATAAAGATGGCATCTGGAAGCTGCCCAAGGATTTGGTTGTGCGAGAAATTCAGATAATAGAATCGAGACGACATGCTCCAGAACCAGTCAGGAATTGGTTCTGAAATTCCAGTGTTAGACAGATCAAGAGAACTCAGATATTGCAGACCGTTGAGCCAATGAGGAAATCCAGGTCCAACATACCAGGACTCCAAGTTCAGCATTTGAATCAGCCTGGAAGGAACCCAATCTGGTTTAGCTTTGAACACCATATGATTTCCCGACGCAAAAAAGTAAGCCAACTTTGTGAGGTTGGCAAAGTGAATTTCAGGGAGAACAACACCATGCATTGCATTCTGAGAGATATCCACATAACTCAAACCTGCCAACGCCCCAAAACTAGTTGGAAACCTTCCATTTATCTTGTTTCTTGAAAGGTCTACATGGTATAAAGATTTCATTTCTCCAAATGAAATCGGAAGTGGACCAGAAATAGAATTGTTCTGGAGCTTGAGAAGGTTAAGATTCTTGAACATGCCGATTCGATCAGTCAACTGACCATGCAGTTGGCAACTAGACAGAGACAACTCCTGCAAAGTACCAGAAGCACATACTCCAAGGATTTCAAGTAACTCAGAGACATTTTGATTTAGTTTTACATAACGCAGAGAAAGTGACCTCAACTGGCAGAAGCTTTTGAATGAATCAGGAATCCCCCTTTCAAATTCAAGGCCATAATTGACTGACATATCAAGGTAAATAAGAGAAGACAAGTTTCCAATCTCAGTTGAGACTCTGCCATCCAATTTATTACTGTATAGATCGAGCTTCTCCAGATGATGTAAACCGTAAAGCCAGTTTGGCACCGAATGATTGAAATAATTGAAAGACAAGTCAAGGGTCCTTAGTGATGTAAGGTTTTGAAGTTGTGCAGGAATCGGGCCAGCGAATGTGTTGTAAGCTAGATTCAAGTAAGTAAGGTTCTTAAGATGAAAAACCCAACTTGGAACAAAAGTCTGACCAAATTGATTGTGATACAAACTTAGAGCAGACAACGAAGAAGACATATTAACATTGGCGAGGGGCGGGATATGAGGAATTTGACAGTGTGATAGATACAATTCTGAAAGGGATGGCAGTGTGATTATCATGTCCAGCCAGTCAGAAGCATTACTAAGATCAACTTTACTAAAATCAAGGAATTCTAGTGAAGAGAGACCAGAAAGCCACGACAAACTATCAGCATACAGCACATAGTCGGCAGCAGCCTCGATACCAAGTTGCTGCAGCTTCGAGAGGTTCCCCAACTGATGAGGAATCAGTCCTCCAAACCCAGCTCCATCAAGGTAAAGGGTATTTAAACTAGTCATCAAACCAAGAAAGCTTGGAATTGGAATACCATGAAAGTCGTTGTAGGACAGATCCAAATAACCCAGATACTTCAATTCAAGCAAGGAAGGGTTGAGCTTACCACTAAGCACAGAATTATGCCAGTAAGAAGGTCGCGGCAACCCTAGATGGAGTTGGGTAACATGGCCAGTGTGATTGTCACAGACGACGCGAGACCATGTACAACAATCCCCTTGGCCAACCCAAGATGATAGCCAGCTACGAGGGTCTTCAAGATCAGCCTTGAACTTCAAAAGCGCTTCCCTTTCAGCTGCACTGCAGCCTGCACCAAGGGTTCCATCCCAGTGACCACCCATCCAGATCACTGAAACTAAAAGTACCGTAAGAACAGTACTCATCAACGACCTCATGGTGATTAGTTACTCAATTAAAATGAAATGCACACAAGAGTACTTTTATGGAATACATAACGTTTGTCTCACATTTTCTCTTCATATCAGCGGAAATGTGCTGCCTTCAACTGCACTGGATCAGTTTTATCGTCCGACTTGTGCGCCATCCATCTTTCCGGCAGATCCTGTGGTCATTGTATTGAACAAAAAAGAGAACGTTTCCCGGTCGCATAAAAACTCTTCAATCTGTCGTCATCTGTTGGGTTGTTGGAGAACCCGCCGACTTCTTCCAACGTCGTCTTGGTTTTTCCTCGTTTCGTTTGTATCATGCAAGGGAAATATATAAGAAGTGCACCATCAGAGTAAGATGGCCCAAGCACAAGACCACAAGGGCCAAATCTGAAATATCCGGCCCATGTCACTCTACGAGGCTGAGTACAGCCAACCATCATTTTGCGCCTCTTATCCAGAGTTTCTTACGCTAGACAGCTTCCCAAACAAATTGTGGAATCTGCACAAGCAATCCTGTATTTAGCTAGCGTCCTCCTTTCTAAAATGTGTTAAATTCCCACCACAGAGAAATGTATCATCAAGTGATTCAAGTCTAGAGCTCTACCTACATGTAGCTGTACTCTCATGAAAATAAACAAAACACAGTGTAACCACATATTAGTGATCTAGAAACACAAGGAAAAAAGAAGACCAACCTGAGTAGTTTGTCCATTTCCGTTCTCACCAACAAGGATGAGAACCTGATACATCCTTAAGAACTCATCTTTTTTGGTGCCAAATAGGCAGAGCTTCTTGGTACGACTGTGAAAAATGCCTTCCCATTCCATGGATTTGCAGAGCCACTATAGCTGATTTTAAGTGAGCTTAGCAGCAGATGTGTCGTCCCCCATATCAAACAAGCTGACCTTTATCTTCCTCCGCACCCATTTGAGAAGCCCCTTCAAATCCATCTACATAAATTTTGGTAGTCTGGAATACCACTGTAGAATAGTTGTTCATAGAGAATAGTTGATCTTGGAGAATTACTGTTGTAGTATGAAATACTAACAGCTTTGACTAGGCCATGTTCAGCTGCATCTCCAAGAGCATCATGTATCCTGAAATTCAACCTGAAATGAACTGAGCTTCTTCTACACCCTGATCTTCCAGTTCTAAAAGGCATTTATTTTTCTTCTTTTTAGCGGAGCAGCAATTTCAACACCTCAATTTCCCCACTCTCCAGGACTTGAACGATACTGACACAAAAAACGGAAAAAATCTCAATTTACCCATGTTTTTAAAAAAAATTCCCAAAATACACACGTTATGAAAATAATTCCCAATCTACGCATGTTTGGGCCATCACCGCTGTCGACGAAGACAGTGATTGCATCACTGCTGTCGACGAAGACAGTGATTGCATCACTGCAGTACACGGCCGCGATGAAGGCCTAACCTGCGTCGAAACTTTAAACAAACGTAACTTTGTGCTCGGTTATCCGATCGTAGCGAAATTTTTTTTGATTCCGCATAATTTTTCGAGATCTTGCAAGCCGCAAATTGCCGTAGGCGGTTTGGTCCCGCCTTCGTCTCGAAAATATGTCTTTTGCTACCCCGAACGAGCCTTTTTTCGATTTCGTCAAACTTTGAACGACCATAACTTTGTGCTCCACAATCCGAAAATCATGAATTTTTTTTTTTATCTCGCATAACTTTTTAAGGACTACAATATTTAGTAGGAGAGAATTTTCAAAAAATGAATTATTTATGGATATAAGGGGTTTTGGGAATAACTTTACCTTCCTTTTCAGAAATCCAAGTACATTCCGAAAATATGTCTATGATAAAAATTGTAGTCCTTAAAAAGTTATGCGAAATCAAAAAAAAATTCATGATTTTCGGATTGTGGAGCACAAAGTTATGGTCATTCAAAGTTTGACGAAATCAAAAAAAGGCTCGTTCGGGGTAGCAAACGACATATTTTCGAGATGAAGGCGGGACCAAACCGCCTACGGAAATTTGAGGCTTGCAAGATCTCGAAAAATTATGCGAAATCAAAAAAAATTTCGCTACGATCGGATAACCGAGCACAAAGTTACGTTTGTTTAAAGTTTCGACGCAGGTCAGGCCTTCACCGCGGCCATGTACAGCAGTGATGCAATCACTGTCTTCGTCGACAGCAGTGATGCAATCACTGTCTTTGTCGACCGCAGTGATGCAATCACTGTCTTCGTCGACAGCGGTGATGGCCCAAACATGCGTAGATTGGGAATTATTTTCATAACGTGTGTATTTTGAGAATTTTTTTTAAAAACATGTGTAACTTGGGATTTTTTCCCACAAAAAACTGCATTGGAGAAGTGATCGCTGATAGAAACCTCTAACCAAACATAAACTTGAAGGAAACTGCACACCAGAGGAGCTGATACAGTTCAACGAAGAATAGTCCATGACGGCTTCGGGTATCTTTGGGGGCACATAGGACACTTTGACATCTCATCCTCCATGGCAACTCGGCAAACTCAGTGGCAATGCCGCTTTCAGTTCTGGTTTTCATTTTTTCCTTTCACTGATGAATCTATAGAAAATTGAATTTTGGATAATGAGGCATAAGCCAGAAAGAAAATTGAATCTGCATTCAAACAAAGAAAATTGAATTTTGGCAGTTGAAGCATACACCACAAAAGAAAAGCATGCCACATTGTAATTAATTTTCAAGAGAAGTACCTCCCGAGCAGAGTTTCAGAACTGATGGCACCAAATGATAACTGGAAGGGAAAGAGGATGATAAGCAATAGTCATCAATGACTGCCAATGTTCAGCCCGAGAAACAAACAAAAGCAGAACCAGAAGCCTGGTCTCACCTTAGAGCCATAAACTTCAGCTGTATTAAAGAAGGTTATGCCACAATAACCGCTGGCATTTAGAGCAGTCTTTGTATCCGTCCATTATGATATTTGTACATCATCACAAAACGACATTTTTAATACACACCCAAGAAACGAACATTTGAACACACCAAGAGTTCAAAATGAAACAAAGAGGATCGCCAATTTTGCATTTCCCAAAAGTTCAAACAGGCAGCCAATGAAAACTTGTTGGCTGCATTCAACATTTGGTTTTTCCTACCATCTCATTGAAAAATGTTCCAATAGCTGGTGTCACCCCAAGATAAACCTCCAATTCCAAGCTTTGTGGCCTTCCACCTCGACCCTCCCGACATCAACTAGTCCTCCACACATAATACCGTTGCAGAATTATGTACCCCGGGTAATTCAAGAATTCCAAAGTACGTTTCTTCTCAGTTGATAATGCAAAGAAAAAAGACCAGGCTGCAACAGCAAAACCAGCCACAAAGCCAAGGGATGTGCTGATGGAGAACCATAGAAATTCATCCTCTTCATCTCCATTTCCAGAACCAGGCACAGCTCTGCTCACACTACAAGTCCTGTTCAATGGAGGGCCACAGAGTTCTTGGTTCCCTATGAAGCTCCAAGAATCAAAACTCTGCAGCTGAGTGCTTGAAGGAATTTTCCCTCTCAAGTTGTTGTAGGACAAGTTCAAGAAACTCAGGAATGTCAGACTTGCAAGTCCAGGAGGGATTACTCCTGATAGTTGGTTCACGGATAAGTCCATGGATTCCAGTGATCCCATTGTCTGTAAACCCTCTGGCATTTTGCCTGAGAAGAAATTATGTGACAAGTTAAGGTAATGCAGTTCCTTTAGGTCTCTGATCTCCCCTGGTATCACTCCAGATAAGTTGTTGCAGGAAAGGTCTACACTTCTTACATAGTTCAGTATGGTACTGTAATCCACAAAGCTCCCTTTAGTCAATAAATTTTGATTTTCCCTGAACACTTCACCTCCTCCAAAAAAAATATAAATTACAGCAGTTGCATCAGTATCATCTGAGGTAGCCATGGCACTGAAATTAGCCAAACATTCTGGCAGGCTCCCTGAAAGTGAGTTGTGAGAAAGGTCCAAGATTTGTAGCAACTGCAGATGGCAAAGCTCCACCGGCATGCTGCCATGAAAGTTATTAGCACGCAAATTAAGAATAGACAGTCTGGAAAGCCTTTTCCCCATCCACCTTGGAATCCCACCTTCCAATCCATTATAACCCAAGTCAATAGTGCGCAAATTAGAGCAGTTACCCAGGGACAATGGAATTTCACCAGTCAGGCTGTTGTTCTGAATGTGTAAGGACACAAGTGAAGTCAAAGTTCCGATGGAGTTTGGAATGCTTCCTATGAAATTATTGTTACCAAGTCTCAGGACCTCCAAGCTCCGCCAATTTTTCCAGCACCCAGGTATCTCACCAGACAAAAGATTACCTCGAAGATTCAGATACTGAGTAGTCCTCATCTCTGTAGGATTGAAACACAAGAACTTGACCAAGTTTCCCGAAAACAAGTTGTTGGACAGGTCCAACAAAGTAAGATTAGACGAAACAGTGGGCAGTGGACCTTCCAAGCAATTGGAGCTGAAATCAAACAATGAGTCATTGTAAACAACAAAGATGGCATCTGGAAGCCGCCCAGGGATTTGGTTGTGCGAGAAATTCAGATAATGGAATTGAGACGACATGCTCCAGAACCAGTCAGGAATTTGTTCTGAAATTCCAGATATAGACAGATCAAGAGACGTCAGATCTTGCAGACCTTTGAGCCAATGGGGAAATCTTGGTCCAACATACCAAGACTCTAACATCAATCTTTGAATTCGCCTGGGAGGAACCCAATCTGGATTAGCTTTGAACGCCATTTGATTTCCAGAAGCAAGAAAGAAGGTCAACTTTGTGAGGTTGGCTAAGTGAATTTCAGGAAGTACAACACCATGCATTGTATTCTGAGAGATATCCACATAGGCCAACCCTGTCAATGACCCAAAACTTGTTGGAAAGCTCCCATTTATCTTGTTTCTTGAAAGGTCTACATGATTCAAAGATGTCATTTCTCCAAATGAAACCGGAAGTGGACCAGAAATAGAATTGTTATGGAGAATGAGACGGTTAAGTCTCTTGAACAAGCCAATATGATCGGTCAACTGACCATGCAGTTGGCAACTACCCAGAGTCAAATCCTGCAAAGTATCAGAAGCACATACTCCAAGAATTTCAAGCAACTCTGATACATTTTGATTCAGTTTTACATGTTGCAGAAAAAGTGACCTCAAGCGGCACAAGCTTTTGAATGACTCAGGAATCCCCCTTTCAAATTCGAGGCCATAATTGACTGACATGTCAAGGTGAACAAGAGAAGACAAGTTTCCAATCCCTGTTGAGACTCTACCACCCAATTTATTACCGTATAGATCAAGGTACTCCAGATGATGTAAACAGTATAGCCAGTTTGGTAAAGAATGATTAAAATAATTGGAAGCCAATGTAAGGGTGCGGAGCGATGTAAGGTTTTGAAGTTGTGCAGGAATCGGGCCAGCAAAAGTGTTGTAAGCTAGATTCAAGTAAGTGAGGCTCTTAAGTTGAAAAACCCAACTTGGAACTGAAGTCTGGCTAAACTGATTGTGACGCAAATTTAGGAAAGACAACGAAGAAGACATATTAACATTGGCAAGGGACGGGATATGAAGGATTTGACAGTTTGAAAGATACAATTTTGAAAGGGATGGGAGTGTGTTTATCATGTGCAACCAGTCGAAGGCCTTACTAAGATCAACATTTCTCAAATCAAGGAATTTTAGTGAAGAGAGATTAGAAAGCCACCACAAACTATCAGCATACAGCACATAATCGCCAGCTGCCTTGAGGCCAAGTTGCTGCAGATTCGAGAGGTTCCCCAACTGATGAGGAATCAGTCCTCCAAACCCAGCTCCATCAAGGTAAAGGGTTTTCAAACTTGTCATCAAACCAAGAAAGCTTGGAATTGGAATACCATGAAAGTCGTTGTAGGACAGGTCCAAATAACCGAGATACTTCAACTCAAGCAAGGAAGGGTTGAGCTTACCACTAAGCACAGAATTGGTCAAGTAAGAAGGTTGCGGCAACCCTAGATGGAGCTGGGTAACATGACCAGTGTGGTTGTCACAAACAACGCGAGACCATGTACAACAATCCCCTTGGCCAACCCAAGATGATAGCCAGTTACGAGGGTCTTCAAGATCAGCCTTGAATTTCAAAAGGGCTTCCCTTTCATCTGCACTGCAGCCTGCACCAAGAGTTCCATCCCAGAGACCACCCATCCAGATCGCTGAAACTAAAAGTACAATAAGAACAGTAGTCAACAATGAGATCATTGTGATTAGTTAGTCCACAAACACAAAACTACAGGCAAGACTAAACATGTTTCTGATGGGAGACCCAGTGTTTGTCTCCCGTTTTTCACTTTATATCAGTGGAAATCTGCAGCCTTCAACTTGCACCAAATCTTGTTTGTCGTCTTCCTGTTGTGTGCTATCCGTCTTTGCGGCAGATCCTGTGGCCACTTTGTATTGATAAAAAAGGAGAACATCCCAATCGCATTTCAATTTGCCGTCGTCCCATGTCTGGTTTGTTGGAGAATCTGCCGAGTGCGACTCAGCGGAATACGGCCGTTCCGCCATCATGCGCTGCCGCTTTCGCCTCTCCCTGTTCTTGTTGGATTCGTTCGTCGGACGGTAACAGGAGCCGTCCCTGTTACGTACACACTGGCGAACTTACAGTACCGCTTCCCCTTTCCATATCGGCTACAAATCCGTCTTTGGCAAATTTCGAAACAGGGCGGCAGATCGGTGAGACTATCCTGACCCGTTCACGGTACTTGGTGATATGGGCTATTGGGTTGTAGTGTTGTACTTTACGAGCATAAAAAGGTTTGGTCTTTCTTGAAAAATCCCGCCCACATTACCGAGGGAGCCGAGGCTAATTAGCAAATGCCACCCGAGACTCTGTTCTATAATTTCATCACGAAACGAACCGATAAAAAAGTAAATTGAGCCTCTATTTCTAGTTTCAGGCTTAAAATAACACACCAGCAGGGAAGTTAATACATGCCTTGACATAATCCAACAGAAAGGTGTTATAAAATTGCAGCTGAAATGGCCGTGGGAAGTATAGATACCCAGGTTAATGCACTGTCCAGCAGTGACAAGATAAATAACAAAATAGCAGCATGGTGATCGAAATAAGTAACCAGCCAGAGCCCAGAGCCACTTCTCTCTCTTTCACTACATGGCAAGTGGTGACTTCTCTATTCCAGATCCAAAAGCAGAAGCTGACCGGTGGAAATTCATCAGCACGGGGACTTAACAGGCAAGCTTGCATACAGAGTGGCTAAAACTGCAAACCGTTCTAAATGCAAGTAAATTTATAAATCTGTCGCAAGATCCATGGGGGGAAGATAGAAAGACAGTACTCCTATCTCCTGCTGCTCTTGCTTTCCTCTCCCCTATCCCTCTTCCTATAGAGCTTCTCCAGAACCCTCTTCGCCTCGCACTGTGGGAAGTTCTCAAGATCATAATAATGTGGTGCTATGTCCACAAGCCTGTACATTTGACAGAAACAAGCATTGTCCAGTATTAGTATCATAAATCTATCTTTATAGAGAAGGATACAAAAGTCATTATATATCATTCCAAATCACGTCAACGAGAGACAGACAGCAAGAAGGAATGTTGATCACTGGTCAATACTCAATACATTCTCAAGCACATTCTGAAAAACCCCACTCAATATAATGCGTGACCTCATAAGCCATAAACGTGAAAATATCAGGTTCTACTGCACTAGCAAATTATAATGGAAACTATAAGCAGAAATGTAAAGAAGACATACCATTCACCACGGATATCTATCACCGTCCGAATGTAATTCCTACTTGTTAAGACATACTCGTTGTAGACAACCCACTCAGGCTTACGATCCAGACAATTAGATGGATGTAAGTTCACAACCTGCAATTCATAGGAGATCCCAATTAATGACCAATGTCATCCAAGAGAACATGCTGATCTGGAACTGACAAAATAGAACTTAGGGGAAAATAGATGGCAAGTTCATACCTGGTTATCTTTGACAGTTAAGTATTGTCCGGTACGTTCCAGATGAGCAACCTGCATAAAGTAGCCTGCTAGTATGGCTTTCCTAATATTGACATAATAATCCCTGCTGTCAAAGTCTGTGCTGCACATCTTCAGGTTAAATCTCAACATGATACGCGCAAGCTGTTCTCTAACATTATCAGCATTCTTCAGTGCCCTGTAATTGATAAAGTTGTCATAGCACCAAGACGGATCTTCATCTGTAATAGTTTGGAATAAAGGGCAATGAGTCAGAGAAATGACGACATTAGCTAATTAGACGCGGAAGAAAGCATAAATACTCACTATTTTGCTTGAATGCATGGTACACGTTCAACAGTGTGAGGTGATCGCCATCACTGTGCCCGAACTGAGCTTTTGCTTCATCAGCTACCTTTTGAGCCTCCCTAGGTCGGACAAAGCAATTGGGTACTAAAGAAAGAATTTGGTTACCACAGAAGAGCCCCATGGTAGGTCAGCAGAGTTCATACAGGCGAGAGACGACACCATTTTGCTTGATGAGATAATACTGAGAAACTGCAACTATATGCATCAACACTTATTTAGAATCCTATGGTGCATGCGAACAAAGGGTAAGGATATGGACCAATACAAGACAGTTTCTGACAAAACCTGAATAGACTCTTTTGAACAACATGTTTGTGAATGCAGTTGAAAATAACTTCATAATGTATGCAATTTAAATGGCACTACCACTATACATGACTCAGAACAACTACAAGAAAATAACATACCGAATGATAAAGAATACGTACCTGATAACATAGCTGAAACCGAGAGGATCTCATTTGAACAATTGAACTCGGAACTGATGACTAGCATCTTTGACAGCTGAGGATCTAATGGGAACTCACTCATGATTTCCCCCAGCTTAGTCAAGTTGCCATCATCATCCAAAGCTCCCAAATAGTTCAACACTTCCAAAGCTCGCATCAATGTCTCTGGAGCAGGTGGGTCCATAAAATCAAAATGCACTAAATCATCAATCCCTAGCTTCTTCAGTGTGAGAACAGTGTTTGCAAGATTCGACCTCAATATCTCTGGATATGTCTGTGGCTGCAGATCCTGATTGAAACTTCTCTCAGTATAGAGCCTAAAACATTTTCCTGGCTGTGTTCTACCAGCACGACCAGCTCTCTGGTGTGCACTCGCCTTTGAAATCGGGGACACCAACAAGGACTCAACACGAACACGTGGATTATATACTTTTTGCTTGGCAAAACCAGGATCAATGACATAAACAATGCCATCAATGGTGAGCGAAGTTTCTGCAATATTTGTTGAAACAACAATTTTCCTACCAGGAGGACCATCCTCTTTCGAAGGAGGTGGAGCAGGCTCAAATATCTTCTGTTGCATGGCTGGTGGAAGAGTCGAATACAGGGGCACCGTTTTCACAGGTCCCACTTGGTCTCCCAAATTACCTATCTCTTTTGAAATTTTCCGGCAAGCATCCTCGATCTCCTCCTCACCGGTTAAGAAAACTAATATGTCACCACGTCCTTCATGCATGTGTATCTGAACAACAGTACGAATTGCTGCCTCCAGGTAATCCCTTTCAGGCTCCTGAGTGTAGAATATTTCCACAGGATGAAGCCTACCGGGAACTTTCATAAGAGGAGCACCATTGAAATAGCCCTGAAACTTCTCAGCTTCAAGTGTAGCACTCATCACAACTAGCTTCAAGTCTGGTCTATTCTTCAACACTTCTTTGAGAAGCCCAAAAAGCACATCTGTTGCCAAAGTTCTTTCATGAGCTTCATCAAGGATTATTACTTTGTAGCGCTCCAAAAGTGGATCGGTCATTGCTTCTCTTAAAAGCATACCATCAGTTAAATACCTGTCAGCGGGTTAACAAACCAAAAGATCAGTTGTGCACTTAGGGACAACACAAAAAGTCAGGAACAAAAACAAACATTGTTTCAGAAGCACTCACTTCAACACTGTTCTTGCGCTGCTACGGTCCTCAAACCGGATACTATAACCAACTTCTTCGCCAATACCAACGTCCATCTCTTCAGCAACACGTTGAGAAACAGACATTGCAGCCACTCTACGAGGCTGAGTACACCCAACCATCATTTTGCGCCTCTTATCTGGAGTTTCTAACCCCACAGCTTCCAGAACAAATTGAGGAATCTGCATGAGCGATTCAGCATTAGCTAACTTCCCCTTTCTGAAATTTGTTAAACCCCCACCGCACACAAATGCATCAAGTCTAAAGCTCTACCCAAGCCTAGCTGTACTCTCGTGAAAATAAACAAAACCCAGCCCAACCCTATATCACTAAACAAGAAAGAAACACAAGGCAAAACAGAAGACAAACCTGAGTTGTCTTGCCACTTCCAGTCTCACCAACAAGGACAAGAACTTGGTTCTTCCTCAACGCGTCCAAGAACTCCTCTTTTTGGTGCCAAACAGGCAGAGTTTTCCTCTTCTCTAGTATATCATGGTACCTCTGTGAAAAGGGCTTCCCATTCCACGGATTTACAGAGCCGCTATAGCTGATTCCGTTGACTCCCGCAGTAGCCACTCCACCGTTAGCCTTGGTGAGCTTAGCAGCAGCTGTTTCGTCCACCACATCAAACAAGCTGACCTTTCTCTTCCTCTCCGTACCCATTGTGAGGTGGAAAAACCTATTGCAGGACTAGTCGAATGGGTACACCCTATTCAGGTAAATTGGCGGCAAAAGGGCTATGAGCAAACAAACAGTAATGGCGGACTAAGGCAAACACAGCGGGAAGGAAAGCGAAGACACTAGGGTAACAATCGCTGGGAGAGTTGGAGCGCGCGGTGAAGTAAGAGAGGGAATGAGGTCGAGGAGGGCGCGGGCCAGGGGTTTTGGCAGTTTGGGGGTTTGGTTTGGTTCAGAATTTCCCTACCCTAGTAGTAGGAATGGTTCAACCTCTAAAAGTAGAAGAAATCGTCGGATCGCAGGGCGATTTTGACTGATCGCGTCCGTTCTCGCTACTGGTACCAACGATTTTGGGCAGCACATCAAAATTGAAATACTCATTACCTCTTTGGCTTTTCGAGAACTTGTATTGGAGCCCTGGTCTGGCTTGTTAGCTAACTTAATAGAGGTGAAAAGAAATTGTGGTACCCAGTGTTGTAAGTAGCATGAAGATTTTAATTATCTGTCTGTATGATTTTGGACTAGTGTTATGGCCATGAGTAACTGAATAATGATATTTGTACTTCTGTCTAATTTATGGTGCCATATTGAACTATTGCAACATCTTATCTTATATTTTGTGCATGTTATATGTTGTTGGCATAAACTTGTAAAGTTCAAAAATCATCTATTGTGAAATTATAATATGTTAAAAGATCGATATAATCTAGAATTGTTTAGTATTGTCACAATTGTGAATGTCGATTATGGTTCTCACAATAGTGAAAATTATCACGAATTTAGAAGTTTATGTTCGTAGTTCATGACGGTCTAAACTGGAAAGTCACGATCATGACTTTCTCTCACTCTTCCCTCATGTCCTTATGTTCCTATTTCAGGATCTCGAGCAAAAAGTCCTAAATCACTTATAGATAGTGTAATTACGCCATTGAATCCAATCCGTTTACCTTACATATTTAGATGGGTGCGAGTAAATGTTTAATGTTTTCCATTACACTCAACAAGGTTGTGGGGTCAATGATTTTGAGCTCAGAAATCAAAATTCACCCAACTAGTTCCCGAGGACATGCCGGGAGTGCCAAGAGAAATAGCTCAACATTGCCTCGCAGTTCCAGCTAACGCGGAACTAAGGCAACAAGCGTGACGAAGCTTCACGGGCGATAAATTGAAAGCCATAGAGGAAAAAGTCGCGCGGCTACTCGGGGCGGGATTAATCAGACCAGTAAAATACCCGAAGTGGTTGGCAAATGTGGTTTTGGTAAAGAAGTCGTCGGGGGCATGGCGGATGTGCGTCGACTACACGACGATCAACAAGGTATGCCCGGGGGATCCTTACCCCCTACCGCGTATCGACCAGCTAATCGACGCCACTGTTGACCACGAGACACTGTCGTTCTTAGACATGTTCTCAGGATATCACCAAATCCCAATGTCTCGCGAGGATGAGGAGAAAACGGCCTTCATGACGCCCTTCGGGAACTTCTGTTTCATCGGAATGCCGTTCGGATTGAAGAACGCGGGCGCCACCTACCAAAGAATGATCGACTCAGTGTTCTCACGACAAATAGGGCGGTACATCGAGGCGTACGTGGACGACCTCATTGTCAAAAACCAGGGAGGACAATTCCCATCTCGATGACTTGCGCGAAACATTCGAGGCGCTCCGAAAGCACAGCCTCCGCTTAAATCCCCTGAAGTGTGTATTTGGCGCGGAAGCAGGAAAGTTCTTGTGATTTATGATAACTAAGCGGGGCATCGAGGTCGATCCAAAACAGATCACGACAGTCCAACAGCTGCGGGCGCCGAGGAGCGCATTAGAGATACAATCCTTGAACGGCAAGATAGCAGCACTAGGAAGATTTATACCCAGATCAGCCGACAAGTGCGCCCCTTTCTTCAAAACGCTTAAAAGCGGCACGAGGTTCACATGGTCCAAAGAGTGCGAAGCGGCTTTCCAAGAACTGAAGGCATATCTTGTATCTCCCCCTGCATTAACCGCCCCTAAGCTTAATGAAAAACTTTTCCTGTATCTCGCTGTGTCAACAAGAGCCGTGAGCGCGGTACTAATATCCAGGAGAGACAACCAGGCAGAGCGTCCTGTGTATTACACCTCGAGAACTTTGGTTAGCGCGGAAACAAGATATTCCCCAATAGAGAAGGCCGCCCTGACACTGGTGAGCGCTTCGAAGAAGCTGCGCCCCCTACTTCCAAGCGCACTCAATCACCGTCCTAACCAACCTCCCGCTAAAAAAGATCCTGACCTCTATGGAGGTGTCCGGGCGGATGGTCAAATGGACGGTCGAGTTGTCAGAATACGACATCCAATTCGCTCCAAGACCAGCAATAAAAGCGCAAATCCTGGCGGATTTCATCGCTGAAGGAGTCACCCTCGATACAACACCAGAAGGAGTGTGGGAGGTCTATGTGGACGGCGCCGCAAGCAAGCATGGCTTAGGAGTGGGCGTCATCGTGCGCACCCCGATAGGCATTGTCCACGAAATAGCAATCCGATTCAGAGCGTTGAAAACAAATAACGCAGCCGAGTACGAGGCCATCTTAGCGGGAATGACCGCCGCCAGTGACTTGGGCGCAAAAACGATAAGAGTGCTATCCGATTCTTCACTGGCGTTCAATCAAATGAACGGCACCTTCGATGCAAAAGAAGACGCGCTCGCACATTACATGGAGCGTGTCAAACAACGGGCGAGCATCTTCGAATCGGTGACCTACGTGCAAATACCAAGGGAGGAAAACATGCACGCGGACGCCTTATCCAAGCTAGCAACCGCCACCGACTTCGAAACAACACGCCTAGTCTCGGTCCAAAAAGAGGAAGAAGAAATCCGTAAAGACACCGTGGTCAACACCACACAAATAACGCAAGAAGAAGACCGGAGAGCCCCGATCATAAAATACCTACAGGATGGCGTGGTGCTGGAAGATAGTAAAGAAGCATGGACCTTGAGACAAAAGGCTGCCCGGTGCACGCTCATTGGTGGCGAGCTGTACCGCCGATCGTACTCTGGCGTATACCTGAAATGCATCAGTCAAGAGGAGGCACACAACATAGTGAGCGATCTACATGAAGGCTTGTGCGCAATGCACACGGGAGCGCGCAGCATGGAACGCACTATCTTGTTGCACGGATATTATTGGCCGCGAGTGAAAAAAGACACAAAGAAATACGCGAATCAATGTCACAAATGCCAAGTGAACGCCCGCCACCATCATCTGCCATCAACCGAGCTCCAAGGCAATCTGAGCCCATGGCCCTTCGCGCAATGGGGAGTGGACCTCTTAGGGAAAACGAAAATACATAATCGTGGCGGTGGACTACTTCACCAAATGGATCGAAGAGGAAGCACTAGCATCGATAACCGCGCAACAGGTAACCCGCTTCCTAAAAAACAACATCCTGGCTCGCTTCGGAGTGCCAAATGCGCTCATATTCGACCACGGGAAACAATTCGATTGTGCGGAGGTCATAGACTTTTGTGACCAAGTGGGGACCATTGCGAGGTTCGCGTCGGTAGCTTACCCCCAAGCCAACGGTCAAGCGGAGTCGGCCAACAAGGCAATTTTGCATGGTCTACACACTCGCCTCGATGATGCGAAAGGAAATTGGGCCGATGAGCTCAACACGGTGTTATGGGCGCACCGCACCACATTCAAGGTAGCAACAGGCGAAACTCCTTTCGCACTTACATACGGCACCGACGCCGTAATTCCAATCGAGACAACAGCTCCAACATATCGAATAACAATGTACAATGAAGAGAGTCACGAGGAGGCGCGCCTGTTGGACTTAGAGCTAGCGCAGGAGCGACGAGAGCTAGGAGCCATCAAACTAGCGGCAACAAAAGAACAGGTGGCAAAATACTACAATGCGAAGCTGGTTCCGCACAAGCTGATCCTCGGAGGCCAAGTGTTGCGTCGGAACTTCCGCCCCGATCCCAAACACGGGAAACTCGCTTCTACATGGGAAGGCTCATACCTAATCCGCGAGGTTGTAGGGGCCAACACTTTCAAGCTTAGTGAATTGTGCGACACAAAAATTCCAAGAACGTGGAATGCGCAGAACCTCAGGAAATATCACCGGTCCATTTGATGTAAGGCTTATTTTCCTTCATAATGGCGCATTTGCGCAGATAAATAAATAGCAATAATCATGAATTATTTGCGTCCCGCGCCACGCGCGTAGAAGTACGAAAAACGCTGATCATGAATCACGCGAACACGAATAGCAATAATCATGAATTATCTGCGCCCCGCACCACGCGCGCAGAAGCACGAAAAACGCTGATCATGAATCACGCGAACACGAATAGCAATAATCATAAATTATCTGCGCCCCACGCCACGCGCGCAGAAGTTCGAAAAACAATGATAATGAATCACGCAAACACGAATAGCAATAACCACGAGTTATTTGCGCCCTGCGCTACGCGCATGGACAAAAAAAAAGAGGGGGTGATCAGCAATCACGCGAACAATGAAATAGCGGTAACCACAAGTTATCTGCGCCCCGTGCCACAGAACGAAGAAGCATCAATCAATTATAATTCACAAGGCACAGAGGTAAAGAAAAAGAAGGGACTGTGATAGACCGATAATTACACATGTTTTCACCCCTATTCTGAAGCCGTTTGAGATGTTGATTCTCGTGTTTTAAGCCGATTTCACGCTAGGTTGTGTGTTTATGTCATATTTCAAGACCCGGCGTTGGAATCAAGGCGGAGAAACGAGTTCTGGGTCGAAAGGAGCAAAGTTGGGACGAAGTGGGCTGCAGGAGGAAAATACCCGGTCAGGGGGCCAAATACCCGACCGGGTATTTATCATTTTGGGCGCCCGTAAAACAGAGAGGGTCCCGGGCATGAAGGTTAAATCCCCGGTCGGGGATTATTGGAGCAGACCGGGGATTCTCCCTCGACCAAAACGCGCGTTTTAAATAATACCCGGTCGATACCCAAAATACCCGACCGGGTATTTCGACCGGGTATCACGACAGGCAGCCAATTTAAAGGAGAAGAAGGCCAACATTCAAAGGTTCCAAGTTTTAGAGAGACAGAGCGATTCCTAGAGAGAGAAATCGACGAACAAGAGTTCCCAAGTGCCCTAGCTTGATCTTCATCACCATTGGATCTTGGCTTGAGCTTGGAGAAGGTGCCAATCAACGTCCAGGAGCATAAATCCATCCTTCACAGTATGATTTCCGCATCTGAATATGCTTTTGCTTC